TATTAATATTATAAAATTAATTTTATAAACTAAATTATGGGTATTTTAAGTCAAACAAGGTATTAAAATTAATTATTAATAATTGAATGTTTAAAAAATTAAATATATTTCGATTATTTTGAGCACATATTAAAATTTTTTGAAATATTCACCACATATTTTTATGTCTCTAATAATGACACTTTTAGTCGTTATGATATTTTTTAAACTTAAAATTTTAATAAATATTAATAGCATATAAATTATAAAATCAAATTAGTAGTAAAATAAATTAAGTGATGCATGACTTAAACATAATCTAATAAATAAGAGATCAGCAAATACTGTAAATTTTGAGTACATTAATACCATATAACATGTAAGGAGAGGGAGTTTAGGGAATATATAGTGAGGTTGCACTGAATCAACTCCACTACTTCTATCAAATCTCAATGGGATTTTGCGTACAATTTATGTTAATTATATAATCATATATTTTATTTATTATATAGTATATATGTAATAATAGCCATTGTAGTTAATATGATAAATAATACAAATAGCTTTGGTTGCATAAAAAATTAATATTTTTTATTTAATTATTATAATAAATTTAGTTTATCAATTTACAAAATTCAATAATCATATCTCATATTCAATTATATCTAACTTGCACTTCAAAATAACAATTTTATTTATAATGATTATCATATTTTTTTTCACTATAATATTTTTAAATATCAGCTAATATTTATTGAAACTTTATGGCAATATTAAATTTAATTTCTAAATAATGTCATTTAATATTTTTACTTAAATTTAAACAATTGATTTATTTTGTATGATTTCTAAATTATAATTTTTATTTTACATAAAACATGTTTATAATCATAAAAATTACACAAATTACTAATATACTTTAATATATTTGGCATATATTTTAATCATTCATTGAAAAGTACTAATTAATTATCTATTTTTATGTATTTTGACTTAAAATAAGTGTTATTAGGTGTGGTTTTATGAAAATTAATGTTAACTTTAACTAAAATTCTAAATTGTATTTATTATACTTTTTCAATAATTTAAAACTTCTTATTAATAATTTAGTATTTTAAAATTTGCTATTCAAAATTATAATTTTTCTCCTATTAATTTATCAAATTATCAATTTTATTGTTTTTTTTAATTTGATGTTTATGTTTCAATATTTGTTACATTAATTTTGCAGTAAATAATATAAAGTAATATAAATAATATTATAAATCAATATTATTAATTTAATATCGTTATTACAGGACTTGTCATCTGATAATTTTTATGAGAATTACTATATGTTATGGATTAACACTAAATAATTTTAATTGATTACACTTTTGAAAGTTTGAAACAATAGTATTGACATCAAGTCATTCAACAAACACAATATATGAATAAATTAGTAATATTGTAATATACTGTATAATAATTACTGTATTTATATAATATACTGTTTTTTTATAATTTAGATAAAAAAATATATATTTTATTATATCAATAACTATAGTTTTGGTATTGTATTAGAGTATTATAAAATATTATAGATATCAAAATTAAACATATTATAAAATTAAAAATGAATATTAATTTTTCAATTTTTATGAATCACATATATTTATATTTAATTTAATGTTATTTTTACAGAATTAAATAATTTAATTACATTTACAAAACTGATTAAAACTTAAATTTTAATTATTTGTACAAAAAATCAATTTATTTTTCATTACTGAAGAAATTCTTTTTTCAAGCCATAAAATGAAGAGACAAATGAAATGAATGTATGCATTGAATAGTCTTTTGTTAGAAATGAGTCTAAAGTTGATAGAGTGGTTGTGTAGTCCCGGAGCCCCAGAGCCCCACCCGATAGATGCCAATTGGAATTCCGTTGAATAGTAATAAATGACAAAACATTGCTTATCTGTAAAATATTTGTTACCATTTATATGTTGTAATGTCTCACCTATTGCTCCCTTAAGAATGCAGTTATGTTTGTTAGTTATGGTTGTTCTCCTGTTCCCAGGTTTGCTATTTTATTACACTATTTATTTATATGTATATTAAATATTCCCATAACATAACATACAGACCACAAATCTTCAACATTACTAACATTTGCAACAAATATTACTTTTTTGTAATGCATTAGTCAAAACAATTTAAAGATAATTACTATTTGTTTTACAAAAAAAGTAACATACTGTCACTTAATATTATAAAATAAATATATGAATTTTTATATTATCTTTAATATTAGTTTCAACTAACAAATTATTTGGTTGGTTTAATAAATATGTTTTAACAAATAATTTTTTTAATTATTCAATTGTTTTTTATTATATTTTTAGAATATTTTTTACTTTGATTTGTTTGTAATTTAAAAATTTGCAAATTTTTTAATTATAATTTTTAATAATTGATTTTAAATGTTAAGTTATCTTATTGTATTTTATATTACTTAATTTCACATAATTAGAATTTTGCTTATTAAATTTCTATTTATATTTTAGTTTTTTAATTTATTATATTTTTGTTTTATTTTAATAAAAAACTATATATATATATACAGTACTTAAATAAAGTTTTCGTTTTTTTGTACATTTGGGAATCCTACTTGTGATGTCACACTATTATCGATACCTACAATATTACTTTACAATTTGTATATAAAGTGTTTAACTTATATTAGTTTAACAAAATTAGTGTTACTAATATAAAACTTTTAATTCATTGGAAATATATTCAAACACAACATATATTATTTATTTATTACATTATTTACATTATTTATCATCAATTTATTATTATATAGATAATTATTTTATATCATTTGTTTTAAAATTATTCATTTAAATAAACGGAGTAAACATATGTTAAATTTATTTATATAAAGCAATGTACAATATATGCAAAAATATGAATTTATGAAAACATCAGGGTTGGAAAAATACAAGGTTTTCAATTTTGACTTTGTAAAATACAGTAAAATACAATGTACTGGATGTATTTTACAATTATAGAAAAAATATATTAACAATGATAAAATATTTATTTTTTATTAAGATTATTATTATTACATAATTTCAATATCGTTATTAGAATCGTTGTTTTCTAAAACTATTAAAAAATAATATTAATTATTTAATTAATATATTTCAATACCAGAATTAAATTGAATAGCTAATTTCAAATTTTTTCAAAATAAAAAGTAACTATTATTACAAAACATGTGTTTGTTTGTGAATCTTAGTATTTTTGTTACTAAGTAGCGCTAAAAACTTTTTGTAAGCCAATATTGTCATGTAATTTACATTGTATTATACTGTATACAGTCTGTATAATACGCTTTGTATTATAAATACACTTTGTCTCTGCCAACACTGGTAAACAAATTGTTTTAATATTATTTGGATAGATTATACTTAATATAAGATTGTCATTTTTACTATACAATTACTTTACAATTAATTATTTATTTAATTGAAGAGTATTTTCAAATATTTGATTGCATTTTATTTTTATGATATTATTTATATTATATTTATTTCAATAATAGCTTAATCACTAATTCTGTTTGTGTACCAGTTTTAAAGCAAAACAACACACAATATATACTGTAGTAAATTGAATATACTTTAAGAGTAATGCATATAAAATGTTAGGCGCGTGGCTTTGCCTGTATGTCCATAATATACAGTATGTTATATACCAGTAGTTGATTTTATAATTACTTTTTCGTGGCTTCTCTTTTTGATGGGTGGGTTGTTGGGTGTCAGACACTTATCAATGACCCATCAAACTACTCATGACTTAGATTTTTTTGAGAAAACATTTTTTACCTAAAGTTAGCTTTAAGTTTACAACAATATTAATAATATTATATTATTATAATTTTTATAAATATAATTATTTATATATACACAGTATTACACACTAACTGACAATTGGAAGAAAATTTTTATTGAATTTAGAATAACAAAAATAAATTAAAATGAATGCATAATTAGTGGCACTATTTTCACAAACATTTTTTGAAAGTTCTCATGAAATTCATTTCCATATGAATTAAAATGCAAAACCATAGACAAAGACTAAGTGAAAGACTACTGTACTGTAGCACTGGTAGCTTTCACTACTCTATACTACCCTCGATTTGTTGGTGTATTAGATATATACAGTAGTTTTACAGAGTATAACATACATGGCTTTACTTATTTGAAAGTGAGTTGAACTTAAAAAACCATTAAAATTGAATAGTTTTTAGTTTTTCGTGAGTCGAGGGATTGAGTTTAAAAAATTGAGAAACATTAGCACTGAAACACCTGTGCTCAACAAACTTATAAAATCAAATACTTATCTGTTTAATGCAATATCTATGGTTTACTGTATACTATATAATGTTGTTTTTAACAACCAAACTATACTATATTTATGATATGATGTGTGCCATAAAACAATTGCCCTGAGCAATTATATATAAACATTATTTACTATTTGACATCAATATTCTTATGTCTTTATGAGCTTATATTTTTTAATTTTATAATAATAAAATATTGTCAAAAATTTTATGTTAAATTTAGTTTATATGAATTACAAACTTAACATTAAGTATTTATGTTAAATATCTATTAAAAATCTAAATATTCAAATTTTACACTTAAAAATTAGTTTTATTTAATAAATTACAGTTTATTAGTAAATATAAGATAACAGTAATATTTGTTACATATAGTATAAAATAATAGGTAAATTGCTTTAAAATATAATGTCAATCAATATAAAACATGTTATGCACTTAAAATAAATTGAAGGTTAAGGCAATGAAATATTGTTTTTGTGGTCATAACTACTTTTAAATAATAAATGGTTTGAAAATAAGTTGGAAAACAGGTGGGTTCTCATTGCATTACAAGGTATCTAAATCATGTCTTTAAGTCAAAAATATTAATTGCTATATAGAAAGACGTTATAAACAAACCATATAACTTAAAATTATATAATTTTTATAATAGAAATACAGCAAATAATTAACAAAATGCAGTTTCACTTCAACAAACAATTAATACAATTTACTTGTCATAGATTATTGTCTAATTATTATTATTTTACTCAGACGATCTTTCCAACCATCATATAAAAGTTAAACAAAATAAATTTATGTGTGTATATTAGGTATAGTAGGTATCGCCCAATTCACCATCACTTGTGTGCCAAACATATGTAGTTTTCCCGATTTTAAATCTAAAATAAAATATGTTAATTGAAATTTAAAATTAAAATCAAAATACCTGGCAATAAAACCCTTCTGGCCATCGATGCGTGCCTTTAAAGTAAAATTAAACGATTAACACATACATATACACACAGTATATAAATATATAATAAAAATATTAATAATTAAAGTACTGTATATAGTATATACCAATGAGATTGATATGTAACAAATGCGAAACCAAGAGATGACATTCCTGTCGAGTTGTTATTCCGGTGCCGAACCACCACATCCACCAATCCTTGTGTTTTATGTGACAACTCTTCAATTACGTGCTTTTGAGTCACATATTGTGGAAGATTACCGATAAAAAGCCGATTGTTATCGAAACTTAACTGAACACCTATTGGATGGTTTGGTCTAATTTCTCTTCTGTTAAGTACTTGAACGGCACGGATAGCATCACTTGGCTTTGTATAAGTGGCGAAAGCATATCCTCTCGTAAGGCCACTAAAGTGCACTTTTAATCGTATCTGATATATAGTGCCAATTGATGATAAAAATGGAAATAACTCGTCTTCAAATAAATCTCGAGGAAGTCCTCCGATATATATTTCACATCCTTTTTCGGGTTTAGTAATATCTGTGCAATTAATTGGTGGTCCGAGTCGTCGTTCACCCTTTTGTTGAATTACTCGATAACCACTAACTATATTTAGAAGTGAATATTCTTCTGGTTTCTTCAAACTCATTGTTTCAGTTTATTTTAAAGCAAATCACTAAACCTTATTCAATGATTGAATGATAGAAATCAATTGACTTATGAATTATGATTCACTTTTTTTTATTTTTCCCATAATTTTATCACATTTTATATTCATTAAATTCACAATATTTTAGACAAATAATATGCTAATTGATATTTTAAGTCAAGTAAAGCTATCACATGAAACCTTGTTAATCTCTTTATCATATTATTGATAAAATTAAAGCACGTTATTAGAGTAGTCTACAAGAGACCCTACATAATGTGTATTATTATTAATTTGCTGTAGACATAAATATTTTCATTATTATAATATTTATAACATGAATTAATAGAAGAAAATCTAAGATAAATAAAATTACTTTATAGTAAACAATTTTATTAATTTTTAATATAAATGTTATAAATCCGCTAATTGATTAATCATTAGTAAGATACAAACATATTAGTAATAGTATAAAATTAAGTGCAATATTATATTTCCAATGATATTTTCAATATAACATTAATATATACTAAATTTTACAATAATTATTGTAATTTTGTTAATATAAATTTGCAAAAAAGTGTTAAAAAAATTTCATTAGTTTTTAGTAAAATTTTTAAATTAAAAGTTTTAGTAGAAAGTAATGCTTATTATTCAGTGCTTTTATTTTACATTTATATACTGTATATTTAAATAAAATGATACTGTATTAATAAAAATATATAATGTACTATAATTTTATTATTAATTGTAAATTTTTATAAGTTTGAATTATTTATGATATAAAAAATTAATATTTATTTTTATCAACATTTAATAAAAAATAAATAAAAAGCAAAATAGATTAGTATTTATTAAATTATATTAATAATAAAAGATTAAATTATCAATAGTATAGTAAACATTGTTTAACATCATTATATAATTTATGTGTTAAATACAACACATCACAAATAGAACACAGATCTGAATTTATTTAGTCATTAAAATATCCATTAATAATAAAATGTTTATAATATTATATTCTGTAGTATTAATGTTTAAATATTATTACTAAAATATATTATTTATAAAATATATAAATTCTAAAATTATATTATTAATTTCATTGTAAATACAATAATATACATTGTACAATAATATAATTGTTTGCTATCAATATATTTAATAGTTTTAATAATATTACTACAGTAGTTTAAAATAATTAGATTATCAATAGATAATATAATAAAAATTATTAAATAGTAATTTAGTAGTATTTGTAAAAATATATTAAATTGAGAAGATAAGCATACCATATAAGTAATAAATAAAAAGTAAGTATCTTTATATTAAATTATTAAAAATGATTGTAAGTTACTATTATATATTTTGATAACAATGTCCACAACAAATCTATTTGATATAATTATCTAAAAAACTAGTAATACGCAAGTCTTTGATGGGAATCAATAAAGCTTTGCCATAATATACATAGCAATGACTAGTGATACAAACAAAATGTCTGTTTTGATGTCTTTGGGATTAATATTTATATTATAATAATATATATTTGAATAATTAAAAAAAATATTTTGAGTATATTTATAGTAAAAAAGAAATCATTAGATCAGTTGTATATAATAAACAACAATCCCAGAGATTGAACCAAATTATTTGTCAAACAAGTAGTCGACCACTTCTTTCAAAATTTCTTTCTCAACGTTTCGCCAGAGCTTCGCCTCGACTACTAATTTCCTTAAGAGACGATTCTCTTCTGGAGACCTCTCGGGCGAAGGTTTTGAAGATGAATTGGTAGACATTTAAAAACAATCTATAGTTTTATATGAAATATGATTATATAAATTTTGAAATTAGGAAAATGAAAACCAAATGTCTGGATCACAGTCCAGAACTGATGCAAACCAAGTTCCGCCTAATTCAGTGTCACAGTCATCTGATTTGTCACTTAATTTTCGGGGCAGTAATACAACCAGTGCTCCGACATCACCACATCATTCAGGTGTCTCGTCATTTCTTTCAAGAGCGACATCATTGACAGGTAGTGTAACCTCAACTGTCCAACAAATTGCTAGGACTGCCACCAATAAAGATAGACAAAAAATTTTACTGGTAATTGATGACAACCAAACTGATTGGTCAGTACTTACTCCATACAAATTAATTTTTTATATTTATTCAGAATATATGGTTTTGTTATTTAAAGGTCAAAATATTTTAGAGGAAAACGATTACAAGGAGAGTGGGATATAAAAGTTGAACAGGTTTTTGCTGTTAATAATATATATTTCTACTAATTATATCATTACTTATAATAATAAAAATAAAAATGTGTTTATTTGTAAATTATATGAATATACACAACAGTCAGAATTTCGTGACCTAACATTAGCTGCAAATTCATTATCGGGAACTGTTGTTAGTATAATTGGTTTCGATAGAAGTGGTTCTAAAGTGGCCCGGTATGTGGGGATCAACCATTTATAGATAAATTGGTCTTTCAATTAATGAATGTATTATATTTGATATTCAATATATCGATCAACAGCTCATTCCGACCAGACTTTGTGCTAATTCGTCAACACATTCGTGATGTTCGTGAAGATTATAGGGATATCTTATTGGGACTCGCGGTTGGAAATGTCAAAACATTGCCAAACCCTAATCAAGGTTTTACTCATATATACAAAATAATAATTATACTGATTTCTATATACAGTATATAATATAATCAATTTTATTATTTTGTTTAAAGCATATAATTTTCAAGACAGGCCATGGGTTGTAAGTTAAATTTATTATCATATTTTTTATTATTACAATATTATTTAATAATTTATAATAAACATAAATTAATTAAATACAAATATATATTATTATTTTTTAATTTATTCTATAGTTTTCTCGTCTAATTGAAATTCAACGGAATTTAGGAAAAGAAAACTTTCCATTAATTGAACAAACATTTTATCCAAATCATCGAGAAATGGTTAAACATTTAATTTTATAAATATATTTGTTAAACATTTTTTTTTATAATATTGTCTATTATATGATTTAGTCGTCAACGACTCGTTTTCCATGTGTTGTGAAGATAGGTCCGTCTCATTCAGGTCAGGGAAAGATGAAAGTGGAAAATATGCAGGAGTTTAACGACTTGGCCAGTATTGTGGCCATCACTACCAACTACTGCACCGTTGAACCATTCATTGACGCCAAATGTGATATTCACATACAAAAAATTGGCACCAATTTTAAAGCTTTTGCGTAAATTATTATTATTATTATTATTATTATTATTACTACTACTACTACTACTACTACTACTACTACTACTACTACTACTACTACTACTACTACTAAATAATATTATTTTAATTTTATCTCATTTTTATAAATATAGACGTAAATCAATCTCTGGTAACTGGAAAGCAAATGTTGGATCCGCTGTTTTAGAGCAAATTAATGTTAATGAAAGATACAAGAAATGGATGGATGAAGTCTCAGATGCTTTTGGAGGACTTGACATCTTTGCAATTGAATTGATTGTTGGCAAAGATGGAAAGGAACATATCATTGAGGTTTGCTATAAATAATAAAAAATCTCTAAAAGTATTGAATGATTAAAAAAAATTAGGTGACGGGATCTGCAATGACACTTCTGGGCGAATCTCAAGAAGATGACAGACGAGCCATCGCTGATTTGGTTGTGCAGAGAATGCAATACTTTTGTAGACCAGCTATTGGGTAGAAATTATTATTTTATTAAATTTTTATTATTAATTAAAATTGATTTTATGAATTTTAGTAAACGTGCGAGTATTACAAGTGATGAACAATCAACTGAATTACCACAAACTCAATCAACACAACAGGTTTGAAATTTATTGTCATTTAAATAATGAATATCTGTTAAAAAATAATTATTATAATTAAGTTACCAACAAATGTGTCAAATGTTAATAAGATGGTCGCACAAAATCAGCCGGCAATGAATGCGCCTCCAATGAGGACACAGCCATTACCACAACGACAACCATCACAACCATCACAGCCATTACCTCCACAAACAACATCACAAACACAACGAACTGATTCTAAAGAAAAGAATGACATGAATATGACTTCTGGAGTTAGTTTGAGTAATCCATTTGCCGGTCAGTCTACAGGAAATGCCACTTCCAATGCAATATCGGGTTCAGATAATCAACAAAATGTATCACAAAACCAAAACAGACCAACACTTTTCAGAAGAAGTTCGCAAACCAAAGATGAAGAGACTAAAGGAGATGAAGGCGAGGACACTATGAAAAATCTAAGGAAGACTTTTGCAGGTATTTTCGGTGATATGTGAGGTATTGACCGCATTATTAAAAGTTTGTGCTAATTATGATTTCTACTAAATTAAACAATTATCTATAAAATATCTTAAGTTGTTATATTTAATTATTTTTTAGTTATGTATTTCATATTAAATATCAACAGTGATATCAGTATTATTTAGTGATAATATTTGTTAAATTATTAAAATGATGTTTTAATATAAGCAATATACCAATTAGGTACTGTACATTAGAGTATTATAAATGCATTAAAATGTTGATTACAATTAAGCAGTATGATGACACTTAAAATAATGATAAACTAAATTTAATTATTATATTCAATTATAATTAAGCATAATTAAATATACATGCTTTATACAGTATATAAATTAAGTGTATATACAATATATAGAATAAATTATTCAATATAATAGGTGTTATTTACTTTGCAAATATTAAATTAATAAATAAAAACTGTATGTATGTATCTTATGATTTATAAATTGTTAATTACTATACATGTATTATTTAATCTATATTATCATGATAAAACCTTTTAAAAATTAACCAGTACTAATTATTATATAAAAATTTACTAAATTTAATATACAAGTAAAACTTAGTACTATTTATATTGTCAAATAGTAGTGCATTTTTATAAATTATTATAGTATTTAATGTATATTATTTCTATTTCAAATTATATAATTATGTTTAATTGTAAATTATATCATATATTCTTAATAATTATAATTATAGGTAGTTTATAGCAAAGTCAAGTTTAGTGTCAATATTAAGCGATACAATCAAAACATTATTATTTGAGGCAATAATTTTAAATGATTTTTGGATATTAAATAAATATAATAAATGGTTAATTTTATGATAAACAATATATAATGGTACATAACTTCAGATATATATATTTATTTCAAACACAAATATTTATCAAAATTAATGATTTATTCAACGAATTTGTTGATATGTTAATTGTAATCAATATACTCTATATTAGACATATTTATGAATACATATACGATAAATAGTGTAATTGTTAACAATATTTATTAAATATATAATATCTAAGCTTAAATATAAAATGAGATAGTATTTCAAATACATTATTTATATTTATTTCGTTAAAAACAATTTTTATTATATTTTAGAACTGATTTTCAATTAAATGTTTTAAAAGATTGAACATAAATATTAAGTACAGGTATTTCATTAAAATGATTATTATTGAAATACTTCTCTTTTTTATTGAAGCTTACGGTAATAATGTTATACTGTTTACTATTTGGTAAAATAATATTAATAATGACTAACTAATCAAATTAATCAATCAATAATTAAGATTTGTTTCTTATTTTAAATTACAATAATTTAAATTTATTTTTATTAATAATCAAATGGTGGCCTTTATTTAAAAGTTGTTATCAAAATATAATTATAATATGTTAAAATCATTAAATTATAAAACAAACATGTTAACTATTAATTACAGTAACTTATTTGTTAAATTTCAAACCAATTAAATGCTTATGTTTTAACTTGAGTTAAACATTCAAAATATGCAGAAAATTAATAATTGAATTCAATACAGTATTATAAATATGTTAATTGAAATACTGTAAAAATACAATTTTCAATAAATGTGATTCAAATAACAAATGTTTATCAATTATATATTAAAAACAATGATAATAACTAAAAGTTGAACCATTAATAAAATATCTTTAACATAATGTTTTGACCGCTCCATCCCTTCATTATAAAACAATGTTTTAAATTCAAAAGTTTTTTTTAAATATTTTTAAATGAAACAATTATTTTATGGCAAATAATTCCAATCGATTGGTTTTTTTGAATTGTTTTTCAAGTAATCATTGGTTTGTGAGAAATGTTTGCAACCGAAGAATCCTCTGTGAGCTGACAGAGGACTCGGATGAACCGTCTGAAGAACTAAATGTTTTTTCTAAATTAATTAATATTTAAATCATTAAACTATTATTTGTCGTATTATTGAATTAAAATTAAAACCTTATTAATAAAGTTTCCCTTTTTGTGTGCATAAGAACCCCATAAAATGAAGACAAGTGATGATTGATTTTCATCTAACCATTTGATGACAGCGTCAGTCAATTTTTCCCAACCTTTTTCTGAGTGAGAGTTTGCTTTGTGAGCTCTTACAGTAAGACACGCATTGAGAAGTAATACACCTTTAATTAAATTTATTGTAATTACTATATAATTGAAATTTTTAAATCATAAAAGTATGTCAAACCCTGTTTGGCCCAACCAGTCAGGTCTCCGTGTTTGGGTTTATTGAAGACTTGTATATCATTTTCAATTTCTTTAAACATATTTTTCAAACTATATTTACAATAATTGCAAAATATTCATATTTTTAAATTACAAATAAATCATAAGTAAAAATACCTGGGAGGTGGGGGAACACCTTTTCTCACACTAAATGCTAAACCTAAAAGTGTAGAATTGATATGTATATAAATTACAGAACCGGTAATAAATTTTGCAAACCATGAGCTTGATTTGGTCCGTGATATGGGTCCTGTCCTAATATCACAACTTTAGTCTATACAAATAAATTAGATATTATTTATTAAATTTTAGTCATCAATTGATATATTACTTGAGATATATCAGTCATTGTTGTCCACGAGAAAACCTCATCAATAGATGGATAAATCGTTTCTCTCTTTCGTTCCAATTCTAAAAACTGACTTAACTTTAAAACAAATATAAAATATATAATAATAATTATTATATGAAAATATAAAAATGATTTACTTTAATAAAATAGTCTTTCGAGAATTCAGGTTTAAGTGCTCTAAACCAAGTGTGACCGATATTAGTGGACAGTGCGGGGGTAACCACTGACTGTTTGATAATAATATCCCTTATATCACATTTTGTTAGACTTAATATCGACTGTTTGCCATCAGCTTCTTTGGCTATCTTTTGCTGTTTCGTCTTTTATTAAATAGAAATGTTTTGAAAAATAAAAAATATTACATATCTTCGATTACCATATGATTGGCTCCATCATCGGTATTATCATTAGTTTCGGATAACTTTCGTTTAATAATTTGATTTGTTTTAAAATACGAAGTGATAGATCTTTGAGACATATTTCTACTTGAAATAAACAAACATTTAAGCATCGATTCTGAGGTTTCACTAAAATTCCTATAAACTAACAGTAAATTTGTAACAATTTAATTATTTTCATGTATTTTCAAATATATAAATAATAAAAACATATATTCATTATAACAAACATAAATTCAAATTTACAATTTTTAAAAAAATATTTCACTCAAATAAGTGAATTATTATAAATTACAATCTATTTATAATAAATTAATCTTTAAAGTTATCGCTGAGAAAATCATTCATTTCGTTTTCATCGAGAGATTCAAAGAAGTCTGTAATCAAATGTTGTTCCGCCTCTTTTGCATCGATAACAGTGGAAGCGCTATCAAAGTTATCTTTACTGAGACCCGCTTTATTAAGAACTTCAAGTTTTTTGCTAATCATTGGCCAAACCATATCATCGATTGTATTTTTAGCGACCAAATAGTATATTTTAACATTATTTTGTTGACCGATTCGATGAATGCGATCCTCAGCCTAAATAAATAGTATTTACAGATAATTAAAAAATTAGTATATTTTAAATAATAAACTTTAAATTAATTAAAAAACCTGAGATAGTATTCCTGGATTCCAAAAGATTTCTGCAAAAACAACGACTGAAGCAGAGGTCAAATTAAGACCCGTAGCACAAGCAGTGATACTGAGAAGAGCTACTCTACATTTTAATACTTCTTGGAACTGCTTACAGGCCTCTTGTCTATCAAAAGCAGAAGTCGAACCATCGATACGAATGTGATTAATGCGCTTTTGAGCCAACATTTCTTGTATACCATCCATCATAATCTTGTGGTGACAAAAACATAAAAACTTAATGTCAAGAGTCAATAGTTGTTCCAAATATCTGCAGACTGGTTCCAGTTTGGCAATTGCACTGTCCATATACCACTCAAATAGAGTTGTATTGTTTGTTTTAGAACTGCTTATATTCGCAACTTTTGAATAATTAGATAATTTTGTTTTCTCTTTATCAGTCATGTGATCTATTTTTAGCAGAATCTTAAAAATAAAAATATTTTTTACTTTATTTTTCAATTATATACAGTATATTAAGATTATTGTTAACAAACCATTTCGCGAGTCTTTTTAGTTAATTGAGTCAAAACTTGAGTCTTAAGTCGTCTGACAAGAATAGTTCCCTCTAAAAGAATTTTGAGTTCATCGAGATTTTTGGCGCCCTTATAGTCCCAAATCTGTTTAGTTTTACCCCATTTGCCTCTTTGGAAAAATTGCTTCAACTTTCCATCACAATAGCGAATACCAAACTCGTGTTTACTTGAAAACAGTTTAGCATTAATTAACTTGATTTGTGTGAACAACTCTATTGATACAATAAAAATTCAATATAAAGTTATTGTAAATATTAAATATTAAACAAATTATACCCATAGGTCGGGAAAGGGCAGGAGTTCCGGTTAACAAAATAATCCTATTCACAGCTTTAGACAATTGTGTGACCGATTCGGTTCTGACGGCACCATCAGTCTTGATATAATGACTTTCATCCAGAATAACCATATTATATATCTGATTGTATTCAATACTAAATTGATTTTTCATTCTTGCCATCAAATCATAGCTTATAATAGTAATCATTGATTTTGATAACTCTTTTTCTTTTATAACGATAAAAACATTACTCTCATCTAAGTTTGGCAACCATTCAATAAGTGAGTCTCGCCATTGATATCTTAGAGATGCCGGACATACTATAAGCAATGGCCAGTCTCGACGAAACCATTGAGCTATACATATAGCTTGTAATGTCTTTCCTAAACCCATATCATCAGCTATAAGACATCGACCACCTGTTCTGATGCCAAATAAGATGCCTTCAATTTGATACTCGTATAGCCTTTGCATTAGTTTGGGTCCAAGTCTTTCATTGAGATCTATGTCTTCTTTTGGTCGATTTTTAGCTTCAATTAGAGCTGTCATCACTCTTTCAGGAACCGCATCAGTGAATTGGATGTCCACTGAATCAATTGATTGCAATTTATTCATAATATTTTTGTAATCATTGATATCAAAAGTCCATAGTTTTGTTGTTGGATTCCAATCGCGTGAATTGATTTTTCTAAAGATTTCAATCACTTGTTTATTATAAGAGATATCAATTTCAAAGCGTTTAGTCGATACTAATTTCATTGATGACATTAATACGGGTTTCTTATTGTTGTTACAGCTATTGGTAACAGATGTGACAATTGGTTTCATCTTAATGTTAGTCAAAGCACTGGTCGATGGCTTTGTGGTCAATGTGTTGACAATAGTCTTGTCATTTGTCTTTGATATCATTTCATTGTTTTCAACGGCCATACGTTTGTTACGTCTTTCAATAGCCTCTAATCTCTTACATTCAATCATTGCCTTAATCTGCGGATCTAATGATCTGCTATTTGATCTCTCATTGTTATCCATTGCAGTTATATATCATATCATATATTATATGATATGTTATAATATGTTTCAAACAATTGATTAATTAATCAATCAATCAATCAATCATTTATAATATCATATTTGAATTCAATGTTAGTATTGTTGTAATGAATATATGGAAACAAACTCTATCTGAAAACACTTACCAATAATACAATCAATTGCTATCTAATTGAATAATCATCAAAAAATGCAATCAATTAAATATATTAATAATTGAATGATAAATACAATACAGAAACTTATCAATCAATTGGCGCTCAAATAACTACACGATTATAACGTATGAAATACAGTACAGTATTATTAATACTAATAAATTGTGACAATAACTGCATTTACGTCATGTTTAGGGTTTACATATACAGGTATAATACATATCAATAAACAACGTAATGTATGATTGACTTCAATGACTGTGTGTTTGATTTGATGTAAATGTTTAGTTAAGCTGTAAATCACGTGAATTATTGATTGAATTGAATGCGCGAACCATTGATAGACTAATTGATAAACTAATTGATTGATTGATAGACACATTGCTATCATTTGATGGATTATAAGACACAAGAATATTGTCAACATATGAATGACTACTAATTGATACAATGATGACCACAAACAATGATCAAGACATTGATCCACAACTTAATTACTCACCAAAACTGTTTATCAGATGTCACTGCAGAAAGAATGGTATTATATTTGATAATTTGTGATAATGTAGTTATAAGAGACCTATTTGTCTCAAAACAGATCCATTTGATAACTCAACAAATATATGGAGCGCAACATTCATTGCAAAGATAACTGAGTTTGAAGACAACAGATTTGTGGCCACTTGTGGTGCAAATATGGTCTGTATTATTGATTGCAAGAAATCTATTGAAAACAACGAAAAGTCAGTCATTGCCCGATATATTGATGACAATGTCAATGAAGATTTCGTTTCACTCGCGTGTACTTCAGTTAGCGTTAAAAATAAGGAAGAAGTGATGGTTTTGGCGGTCGGAGGGAAAAAACACATCCTTTTGGTCACAAATTTTCATGGATTTCATTGCTATGAAAAGTTTGACTCACATTCAGGTATGTATTGTTTAGTTCAACAAATGTCACAATATATAGTATTTTACATATTTATGTTTATCTGTTTCCGGATTAATATCTCAACAATGATATGATATTTGTCTTGAGATGAACAGAAATTTACGATAAAATTCTTAGAAACTTACAGTTAATAAACTATAACTAACTCATAACTAACTGGTTTTACACTTACGGTAACAGAAATACATTGATTCTAATAAATTAGTGTATGATTTACCGTAAGTTAAATTATTGTTAAGACCAATGGTGTCAACATATGTATTAAACTGATTAATACACGAATTAGTGATTGTTATTATAATTTATTTATTGATTTAATTTTTGGAACAAATGTAGATTATAGACAGCCAGTAGAAAATTATTTGCCCCAAACCCATCCCCACCATGCATTAGTTCCCTGATACAATTTGTGGTTTGCATTAGTTCTCTGGTACTATTTGTGGTTTGCATTAGTTCCCTGGTACTATTTGTGGTTTGCATTAGTTCCCTGGTACTATTTGTGGTTTGCATTAGTTCCCTGGTACTATTTGTGCTTATGAACTTTTTGTGCTTGTGCTTTTTTTGTTTTTTTGTGCTTTGTAATTTGTGCTTACTGTAGATGAACTTTGATTTGTAAAATACTGTATATCTAAACAATAATTATATATTAATTTATTACTGTATATACAATATATTATAATTTTATTAAAGAACTTGTATTTTATCATAAAGTTTGATATTTAGTCGTTTGACATATTTATATAATAATGAAATCAATTACCGGTAATACAACTAAAATTTATTTTAATATAAATTATTAAAATCAGTTTAAGCATTGATTTGATAATAATAATAAGTACCGGTATTATAATTTTGGTTCATTTCTAACAAATTATATATAATGACTACTGTAATGAAAATAAATATCAGTAAATTAAATATAATAAAAATTATTGATTTATATTTAGATCAAATCAATTCATTGAACTTCATTTCATCTGATATACTGTTCAGTGCCTCTTACGATAAGACTATAAAAATGTGGCGAATTTCTAGTCCAGAAAACACCAAAAGATCACATTTGTTGACAACAATTGATATCAACGACAATCTGTTGAGTTTGTGTTACTCTCATAAATACCAACTATTGTTGGCTTCGGGTTTCAAAGGACTATACTTTTGGTCGAATTCAACTGATTTGTCTTTGCTTAAGAACTGTCAACCAAAGTCAATGGTAACACAACTGAAGACAAAATATTTGATCGATGGATTGACATCTATTCCTATATATGATGACATTATTGCCATAAGAATCTATTTGTCAAAAATGATTACCATTATTGACCTCAAAAGAGTTACTCAAGAGATTAATAAAAATGATAAATCCGGTAAAGATATGAAAACTATAACTTTATCTAAAATAACAAAAGCAAAGCTTAAATCATTTGATGGATATTATCCTTATATATACCTATCGGCACAAAAAGATCTATTAGTGAGCGGAGGACCTAATGGTCAGATTTGGATATATAAGACTAACCGATTGAAAGAGTATTGTGAGGCCAATGAATTGATAAGAGCTGATCGTGTTATTGAATGGCCAGCAATTGAAAACATTATAAAAGATAATAAATGCATTATTGACGACAAAAAGCCCGTTATTATTAACACTTGTGTTATAAGTGGTGATCTTCATTACCTCATTGGTTGCACACAAATGAATTTAGTCTGTATTTGGCACAAGACTTAGTTTCTAATAAATGATTGATATTTGAATTTTACTATTTATTGATATGTATTGTAGAGATAATAATGTTATAATATTTTGATATTTGTTATACTGTACTGTACTGTAGTGTAATACTGTAATAAATGATTGACTTATACTGTACTGTATATAGTGTTAAAGGTATGTAATGTTTGTTTGTTGTTGTGTTGAACAGCTGAGTGTTGAATGGGTGGTAGTATTGGTAGTGTTGGTCGTCACTGACTGAGCGCACAGATGCTGTTTGGCAACCAATCAAAGCACCCAAAGACTGGTTTGACGCCTAACCATACGTACAACACTTCGGGTGCCATTGTGTGTGAGTGCGTCCATACAAAGTGGTCACTGATTTGCATATTTAGTGATCAATTGATGTCAATTGTGTCCAATACTAGCAATAAAGCCAATGAAGAGCACACTTGACGTTAAATAACATTAGTCTATACTATAGTAGTCTATAGTCTATAGACCTAACTATACAGTCATAACTGTGTTGTTGTTGTTTTGTATCCATTGTTGTTGTAATTGTGCGTCAAATTGGTCTCAAGTGTCTAAATAGTCTTAGTCTTAGCCATGTCTTCACCATCAGCTGGAAAGCGTCGGATGGACACAGATGTACTCAAACTGTAAGTCACAACATATTATTAGACAATATATTGAAGACATTATTACCAATCATATGATGTATTGAGTAATACATGTATTACTTATGATATATGAGTTATCCTTGAATTGTGTTTTCACTATAATTGTAATCAAATATTATATTTTGTTGTTATTGCTAATTGTTTTATACAWTCATAATGACTAGCATTGAATCCAAGCACGAGGTGACCATTTTGGGCGGTCTTAACGAGTTTTGCGTCAAATTTTATGGACCAAAAGGAAGTGAGTTTGACCATCAATAGTGGTCTCATTAATTGTCTTCAATTAATTTGATTTCTTGTACAACCATTAGCTTCATATGAAGGCGGAGTTTGGAAAGTTAGGGTCGATTTACCCGAAAAATACCCATTCAAGTCACCATCAATTGGATTTATGAATAAGATATATCATCCAAACATCGATGAAGTGTATGCCATAGACATTGACTATTTCATTGAGTTGTTAATTAATTTAATTAATCGGTGTTTTATATGTTTATATCAGTTCAGGAACTGTATGTCTGGATGTCATCAATCAGGCGTGGACTGCATTATATGACTTGTCGAATATCTTTGAATCATTTTTACCTCAATTGCTGACTTACCCGAACCCAATTGATCCGCTCAACGGGGACGCGGCCGCCATGTATTTGCATAAACCAGAAGAATATAAACGCAAAGTACAAGGTTTGTACTCAAATAAATGACTTATTGTTTGATTATATATAATAACATTTTATGGTTTGTTAGAGTACGTCAAGAAGTACGCCACAGAAGATGCTCTGAGAGGTGAAGAAGACGAGTCTGATAGCAGTGAGTCAACAATGAGTGACTTCTCAGATGACGAGACAAAAGATATGGAGCTCTAACATAGGCTTAACACAGCTATCATCCAATTATTATTGCATTCATTCATGTTTTGGGAAATCACTTATTATTTGGAAATTTTCCTTTTATTTTAGTTGCTCTTCATTTTATATGTTGTATTGCAAGACAACTATCCAAATGCTGATCAAAACTTATTGTTTTTTTTTGTTTTAATTAAAATTCATCGTAACATTAATTATGTAATACACATTCATTATGTAAATTACTTTAAACATCATATAAACAATTACATGATTATTATTATTAAAGTAGAAGTTATTAAAATCGGGGCTTTTTTCAACTCTTTAACTAATGCTTTCTATAATGCATTATATCAAACAATTTCTATTATTTGTATAACTAATATCAATATATATACAGTAAGATATATTTAGGATTATATATTCAAATAATTTTTATTTATACTTATTATAAATACTTGATTGTCTTCTCATTTTATTGTTAATATATATATATAATTATTATATTGTTATTAAAATGATTGTGCTTTCTCTAAACAGTGAAATATAAAATTTACACATCTATTATAAATATTAAATAATTAAATGTTAAATAATTAGATTCAAGCCCCACATAATAATTTGATATTATTAATTGTTTCTATTATTTAATTTTTTAGATATAAGACAATTGATATAACTTAACATTGAATGAGTTATAAAATATAATCTATTTATAAATATACTTTACAGAGAATATAATTTTAATTATTAATTTAATAAATATATTTACATAAACTCACATATATAGTAATTTGTTAATTAAATATATTAGAAATATAATGGTATTTTAAATATTAAATTAATCAAATAAATTTGTTTTATTTTATTGAAAACTTATTTTTTATTGTGCATATTTATTTAAAATAAATTAATATAATTGCAACAAAAACTAATTTATCGATAAGTATTTTAACATTTATATCGAAACTTATTTAATTGATTTTAATATAATTTATTATATTATGCATAAACACTAAACTAAATTGAACTAATGTTTATACTGCATAAAAGTTATATAAATTATAGATTCTATAATATAGAAACACATTTTTACTCATAATTTAAAAATAAATAAAGTTTTTGGATTATATACTACAGTAATAATAACATTATATTTAACATACAGCTATCCCTAATTTTATAAATCATAAAAAATATTATAGTAAAATAATGCAATTAATTTTATATATTAATTTTAGTCAAACTTATGTATATTTTAAGATAGAATAACGAGACTATTTATTTTATAAAAATATCAAACTTGATTCATTAACATAAAAATTTTATTATTAATGTTTTGTTATATCTAAAAATTACAAAATAATTTTATTAATTTTAACAAAAAAGCATAATTCAAATTTATTTAAATTTTTTGTGTTTACATTTTATAGTAAAACTTACATTCTTTTAGTTTATACTTTAGCTAAATTAAATCTTGTGCGTAAACTATCTAAAAGTAATTAAACATATTTTAACAAATAAAAGTAATTTACTTAATAATAATTTAAAAATTTTAACTAAAATTAGTTTCTAAAAGTAACTAAAAATTGTTGATAAAATATTTTTTATGATTTATAAATCGATTGAGTTAATCTATATTTTAAACCAAATGGCATAAAAATTGGTCAAAGGTTTTTGAATTATTAGTATTTTTATTACTATATAATAGTTGTTTTGTTGGCTGTATATAAAAATTAAGTTGCAATGACTTCTTATAATTACATAAACATAATTAAAATATACTATAATAAAAATAATGTAATTTTTCACTGTATTGTTCAATATATCGTTTTGATGAAATAATACACAAAATGGTAACAAAAGATTAATTTTCTGTCAATTCTGTCAAAAATACAATATATTACAATCCATAACAATATTATTTATTTTATTTTATGACAAGTCCTTTGCTACTATCGGAAAATAATAGATGAATAAACTTATATTATTTCAGAATAGATTTTATTTTAACCAAATTTAAAATATTTAGTTTTTATTGTTCAGTCATATCATATATAAAATTTAAATTATAAGAAATTATAAAATCAACAAAACTTTAAATTAAATTAATAATTTAAAAAACGAAAAACAAATTATATATATATACGTTATAATGTAAAATTTTTTTTTAATAACTTATGTATTTATTAATTATTAATTCAATAATAATAGTTATTTTTATTTTGTTAATAGCTGTTAAAAAAATATGTCTATTTTGTCAAATATTATTATTTTTAATTTAACAAAAGATGTCTAAAATTATTTGAGATTTGTTTGCGTAACGATTGAATGTAAATTCATGTATTCAACTGAATATTATATTTTGGTTCTCAACACTTGAGATAAAATATACACTTTGCACTAAATTGTGTAACTAAATAACAAATTGTATAAATTATTTATTTTCATTTTTTAACTTTAAATTATTATAAAACATTTTGAATATACTTTATTTATATTTAATAATCAATTAGTCTTATTAACAAAACTAAGAAAATGTTAATTTATATGAGAATTAGAGTATAAAAATTTATGTATATATCGTATATATTTAACGGAAATAACTTTGCTTTAAGTATGTGAATAAATCATTATCAATATTAAACAATAATTGTAATATAATAATTAATATTAACTATTGTTTTATTTGTAATATTTTATATTGAAACCAATTATTGGTTTCAATATAAAATATTACAAATAAAACAATAGTTAATATTAATTATTATATTTTGAATATTTTGATCTAACTTTTTGTTACCTAAAGATAAATTGTTATTTTATTTTTTTAAATTTTGAAAAAATAATTTTAATGTAATTTATTTTAATTACCGTACCAGTAATACTTAAAATGTTAAAACAAGTATCTAATTGGTTTTAATAAAAACATAGCACCAATAAATTGATTGTCCTGGATCTGTTTTGTCAAATTTTTGGTCAAAACAAATAAATTATATTCTATATATAATGACATGGACAATTTTAATTAAGTTACAATAACTACATTTAATCATTATGTATTTAATTAATATACAGTATATGAATGAATATAAATTACCGTATATTCAAATCTTTAATTAAACAAACATTGATTTATTACTATTTATTGACTACAAATCAATTAATATAAACCGTTATATAAATGATAACTTTTGTCAACTATTTTATACAAAATGAGTTAGTGATCACACCGGTAGTGGACATGTCTCGGGTCGAGTGCAGAATATGACCAAATAAGACAACTTTAAATGAAAACATATAATTATCAAGTTTTCTCCAAAACCCAACTCCATGTCTATGATTTACACCGAGTCCTCTGACTTACAATTGTTATATGTTTTGATAATTTCTTGTTATAAATCTGATTGTTAAACATCTTTAGATAATTAATGTCTAAATCCGACAATAATTGGTTTTTATTTAAATTAAACTATATTTATAAGTATTACGAGACTACACAACACTATTATTTGCAAATTGATGTCAAATAAGTCTGTTTCAGACATGAGGCCATTTCCATTGATTAATTGGTGGTTTCGTTATCAACGGTTCCCACGCGCGGGTCTCTGCAATACGCTTAGAGAGTGCCAACTCATTCTCGGCCTGAACTATCACTTCTTCAATCTGACCACAATTTATCTTATCTTCAATTGCTTTCACATCTTTCTCCTACCAAATAAATAGGTCAACAAAACAAATGAAAATAAAGACACAAACCTTCATAACGATGGCCAACCTTTCGTTGACTGTTTCAGTCGTATATTTCTTGTATGCGCTCTCGTCGGGCATTTTGGCCAATGTTTTCAATATTTTGTTGTAGAGTCGGGTCAGCGACTAATTAACAGAAAGACATAAGAATTGACCAAATGTTTGGTTTGCAATCACTTACATAATGAGCATTTCGGGCCACAAGAAGTCCCGTCAAACCAGTTGTCTGATACATACATGACATCAATTATATATCATAACAATTATTAACCACAAGTGATCACATTATCATCATATGGTGATCACCATTAGGTCATATCTTCAATAATACTAACCTTTTTGATGGCACCACTCATTGCTATCATTCAATGTTATCAAACTATACTAAAGTATAATAATATGTTTACTGTATATCAAACTGTATTCAAACATTAGTTTATTTTATTAATGTATTTATATATGTTTTATCACTCAATAGATAGCATTATGTGATAATTGCATTTCAAATACTTTAAATAAATTTATATAATAATAAATTAGTAACTATTGTAATAATAAATTTATAATGAAATTCAAATATTTTACAAAATTATAATTATCATATTTTATAGAATAATTTATAAAAATTAATTAAATTATAAATAAATTATAAATAAACTTAATGTATAGAAATACTGTAGTGTTTATATAAAATAGTTCCTCAAATATATAAACTTTTTATTATATTTTAATAAATTTATCCTTTAATTACGGCAATTGGTCTTAATTTGACACATTTCTTGCTGATGCCGACATCATGACAAGTGTTGACCACATCCGTCACATTTTTGTATGATTCGGGTGCCTCTTCCATAACCAATTTAGGTGACGCCACTCTAATTGATATACCTTTGTTGGCCAAGTCCTCTAAAACCTGTGTATAGTCCAGATTACGGCGTGATTTAGCCCTTGAAAGAGCCCGACCGGCGCCGTGACAGGTCGTCCCAAATGTTTCCCTCATTCCGGTCTCAGTTCCAGTTAATACATAACTACAAGTGCCCATTGTTCCACCAATAAGAACCGGTTGACCTGTTAACTAATAAAAGTAATATAAGTTATAATAATGTTAATAAACTCATTATTAAAATACCTGATAATCAACGGGAATGAGTGGATGGTGTGGAGGGAAGGCTCGAGTGGATCCTTTGCGATGAACTAATAATCTTTTAAGCTTTCCATCGACTAAATGTTGTTCTTCTTTTGCAATGTTATGCGATACATCGTAAATGACGTGAAGATCTAAATCATCGGGAGTTGTGTTAAATGTCTTTGCAAAGGCTTGTCTTGTGAGAAAAGTCATAGAACTCCTGTTAACCCACGCAAAGTTGGCCGCAGCGGCCATTGCTTTCAAGTAGTTTTGTCCTTCCTCTGAGTTGATACGAGCGCAGGCAAGTTGTCTGTCATTGACTTCAATTTTGTCTCTTTTCATTGCCTTTTCCATTAACAGAAGTGCATCAGTGGCCACTTGATGACCAAATCCTCTGCTGCCACTATGAATCATAACACATACCTGTCCTAATGACTCGATACCCATTTTAGCGGCATTTTGTTTGTCAAATATCTCGTCTACTACTTGAATCTCTGCGTAGTGATTACCTGCACCAAGAGTTCCCAATTGAGGTAAACCTCTCTTTTTAGCCTTCATCGACACTTTTGATGGATCGGCTGAAAGCATACGTCCATATTCTTCACAATGTTCTTTATCTTCAGCCCATGCATAGCCTTCTCTTAAAGACCAATCGACTCCCATTTCAAGTGCATCCTCCAAATCTTTAGCATTCATTGGTATAATACCTTTAGAGCCGACACCAACTGGGATGTGATCAAAAAGAGATTGAGTCAACTGTTCCTTCACAGGATTAACATCTTTTTCAAACAGATTAGTCCGAAGTAATCGTACGCCACAATTGATATCAAAGCCCACACCTCCGGGTGAGACAATAGCTAACGGATCATCCATATCAAAGGCGGCCATATTTCCGATGGCAAAGCCATACCCCGAATGAATATCAGGCAAACCTATTGATTGTCCAACAATACCGGGCAGTGCGGCCACGTTTGCAATCTGTTTAACGCCGGGCAAAAAACCTCCGATACCTCCGGGCTTTGTACTCATTCTTAACTCATCTAACATTAACTTCTCCAACGACTCGTTCACATAAAACACTCCTTCTGTCTGAAGACAATCAAATGTTAAGTGAGATAATCAACAGTTAATTGATGTGTCAAATGATACAGACCTTCATATTTGGTACAAAACCCTTCTTAATAATCCATTTGTTGTTATATTTCTGCAAATATTGCAGTTCTTCCTCATAGGTTCTCACCATTTCTGATGATATCTTCAGTTATTATTAATGAGATAATTAAAGTTGAGTTTTATTTATAAATGATTGCAATATTTGTTGCGATTATTTTCAACACATGTGTTGTTATGTTTTGTTATTTAGGATAACAGTAATATGTATTAACTCTACGATAGCATTGCGTTAGACATTGTATTACATTATACTGTATTAGTATTGCACTGCAATTTACTGCAATATTTTTATTGATTATTTTAATAAAAATAATATTAATTAATATTAAATTATATTTTAGGTTAGATTAAGTTAGATATCTATCGGTATATCTATAGATTAATAGTTATAATTATCAATAAATAGTTGAGTATATAAAACATTTTAGACATGAGATTCACAGAATAACATAAATTTAATACTTTATATCATATTTGCAAACTGTTCTCAAAGTTGAAGATTGATATTAAAATATATAAACTAATTGACTGTAAATTATATGAATTTATTGTTACTGTGATAGGACTGACCTCAAGTAATTAAAACATAGATATGTTATAAAATTTACTGTATTCAGCATCAGATATCAACATTATATTAGGATTTATTTGTATAGTTTTTCTATAAATATTTATTAATTATATAAATAATTTAATTAAATATAATTTATAATAGAGTTATCATGAGAGACAAACAACTGGTAAAACTATAAAGCAATGATTAAGACTATTATAGTAATTAATATATTAATATTTCTATAGACAATACTATATATAGGCTATATCTTAAAATCAGACCCGCATCAGACTCCCGACTCATAATGTTTTGTGAATATCTATTAAACTATATTTTTAATATAAAAATGACCACAAGTGGCAAAGTTATAGATAATTTTAGACTCAATATATTTATAATTAATTATTTTTTATTTACTCTTATGATTGGCCAGATAATTGCATCAGAACTCTTTTAACAGGTCTGATGCAATTATCTGTCCAATCATAAGAGTAAATAAAAAATAATTAATTATAAATATATTGAGTCTAAAATTATCTATAACTTTGCCACTTGTGGTCATTTTTATATTAAAAATATAGTTTAATAGATATTTACAAAACATTATGAGTCGGGAGTCTGATGCGGGTCTGATTTTAAGATAGAGCCCTATATATACCGTATAATTCTAGAATACTTGATGACATTATCTCAAGAAATATGAGTTTATTAAATAATAATATATTCAATTATATAAATATCTTTTAATTATCTATTATATCAGATCTACCAAACAATAAATTTACCAAGTTGTAATAAGTAATATTGTATACAGTATTATATAATAATTAGGGTTAGATTGAGATTCCCAGGGAGGGAAGTTCCCAAATAAAATCCCTCCAATTTTCCCGGAAAATATGGAAAATATATTATATTCCTTCCCTTGATCGTTAGAAAGGGAAAATATAATTTGTCATACATTAAAAAGTACATAATCTCAATGGCTATGTGTTTCAATTGGGACCATTATGTTAGTAATAACTCAATCAAAATATGATTCAAATATTATTAAACATTTAGTAAAAACATTAAATACATTTTGTAGACATTTACTATACAAACGTGTTTTTAATTAAACATTATGTAATGTGAGTTAGGGTACGATAGGTGGTACCACAAGGAAATGTCTTCCCAGGGAATTCCCAGGGAACAGGGAATATAAGGAACTTATGGAAAATAAGACGAGGAAGGGAATCTGATCTAACCCTAATAATAATATTGTCAAAAATGAAAAATTACAGTTTATTTTGTTAGTAATTTTTTAAAAATTATTTTATTTTTATAGCGTTTTAGCTTATGATTGGTTATAATTTAAATATTTTTATTTATTGTAAAAGTGATTACATTTACTACTTAACAGTTTGATAGTAAGCAATATTATTACCGGTAATATAAAATTTAGGTATAATTTTATACAAATTAATATGTAGTTAATCGTTGTTTATATATATAGTACAGTACTTTGACTTACAAAAAACACCCGTTTTTGTAGTAAATGTATGTTTTGCACAATATTTCCATAAAACTTGAAAATCCTAATTTTTAACCGAGATTTTTATAGATACTATTTATTTTATGTAAGATAAATAATATATTAAAATTTATATTAAAAATTGTAAATTATAATTGTTATTACCTTTATTACCTTGTTACTATCATATAATTGTTCTACTATAATATAATTAATCTATAGACAAATTATATATATAATATATACTGTATCTATATACTTATATTATAATATCTAATGTTAATATAATATATATAAATTATATACTGTATATTATAGTATAGGTCTAATAAATCTGATAAATTAAATACTTATTATAAATGAATTTAAATAGTCAATTGATGATAATAGTATAATGTGTTAAAAACTGGAATCATTTTATAGCTCTATTACAGCATCACTACATCACTGCATCACAACATCACCGAAATAGTATTGATTTGTTTGCTTTGAAACATAAGATATTATGACTTTTATGGAGGTTTGCGAGCATTTATTAAAAGACTACAATTATTTAATATTTATATATATATTTAAGTTGTTTTTCCAATATTTTTAAATATTTTATTTATCATAAATTATTATATAACTGTATAATATATATTTGTATAGATATACAGAAGATAAATCAAAATGGATTTATATAAGATTTTTAATAAAAAGAGTTTGTTGTTAATTAAATGCATTATGTATTTTAAGATAATTTTATGTATATTATCAATAACGAGGGCTAATAAGTCTGATTTAATTATAAACGATTTGTTATTAAATAATGAAAATCCTAAAATTTATAATATTGGTGCTGTACTTAACTCTGGTGACAGTATATTTGAATTTTCGCAAGTAATATATATTTTAATATTAATTATTAGCAAAATAAGTAAAAATTACTTATTTGACAGACAATTGAAGATATTAATAACAGACCCGGATTTCTACCTAAAGGTTTAATTGAAAATTTATTAAATATTTAAGATATAACTAAAAAAAAACATTTTTAGTTTTACATTTAATTTTATTAATAATAATTAACTTATTAAAAATTATTGTAGTTTAAATAACTAAGCAAATGTCAATTAATAATTATTAAGTGAAATGAAAAAAAATAATTATTTATTTAATTTATATGATATATTAATATAATCTATTAATAGGTATTACATTATATGCGGTGACAATAGTAATGAACACAAACCCCATCCGTACGGCTCAAAGTGTTTGCGATAAACTAATATCATCACAGGTTTGACATTTAATTTAAAACAATAATTTTTATGATAATATATATAATTTCAATTGCAATCAGGTCTACGCTGTCATAGTATCTCATCCTTCAAATGGCGATCAATCTCTTTCATCAGTTTCCTTCACTTGTGGTATTTAGTTATCTAATAATATATTGTAAAATATTAATATTAATAACAAACAGCAATATAATGTATACATTTAGTTATCACAATTGTATAAAATAGTAAAAATTAAAAAATATTTATATAAATTTAATATTTATTATTTTATTTCATATACAGGTTTCTACAATATTCCAGGTTATAGTGATTTTTTTCTAAATTAAAGAGTAATTTGTGAATAACTTAATAAAAAATAATTGATTGATTTAATAGTAATTGGTATATCAAATAGAGACAGTACATTATCAAACAAAAATCTACATGGGTCATTCATGAGAACTATGTAATAAATTTATTATTTAATATAAATTATAACAATTTTATAATTATATGATTATTGTGTTGGATATAGTGCTCCGCATTCACATGAGACAGATGTCTGGACAGAGATATTGATTCGTCTAAAGTATTTAAGTGTTGTCTTTATCCACAGCTCCGATAGCGATGGCAGAAGCACTTTAGGCCGGTTCCAGAATTTAGCGGATATCGCTAACAGTAGGATATAATACTCATATATTTAACATAATATCAATTGTTTATATAATTAGTAACATAATTACAGTCAAAGTGGAAACTATTATCAAATACGAACCGGCAGTTCTGTCAATAGCCGATGCATTAGAAGAGGCCAAACGAGAGCTTACGTGTCGGGTATTTATTTTGTACGCTAACACTGAAGACGCACAAAGTATTTTCCAAGAAGTAAATCGACATAATATGACTGAACCGGGATATGTATGGCTGGTCTCAGAGCAAGCATTAGACGCTCCTAACAGACCTAATGGTGTGCTTTCGCTAAGAATTAATTCTGGAAACGAAAGCGCAATAATTCGTGACTCAGTTCAAGTGTTAGCAAATGCTTTGAAAGAGATGTATGAAACCGATAACATAACTGTCCCGCCGGCCGATTGCGCAAAAATATCATCGACTAAATGGGAATCGGGAATCAAATTTGTAAAACATTTAATTAATCAAACTTTTAATGGAAAGACGGGTAGAATAGCTTTCGATGAGTTTGGAGACAGACTTTTCAGTGAATATAATCTCATTAATGTAATCGATGGCAGAGAAGAGATTGTCGGTCATTACTCATTCTCCAAGAATATCATGAAAATGGAGTTACAATTAATTGAGGATCAAGTGGTTTGGCCGGGAAATCAAAAAGATAAACCTTTAGGTTTGTTTCAATTATAATATTTAGTTAAATGTTAGTTAAATGATTTTATTAAATTTTAATAATAATAATAAATTATTTATTTTAGGATATATTATACCAAAACATTTAAAAGTTTTTACTTTGGCTGAAAAGCCATTTGTTTGGGTAAAGCCTGTATTGAAAGATGGTATTTGCAAAAATGGACAAAAAATGTGTCCCAAATATTATTTTCCAGAAAAAAGATATATCGATGAATGTTGTGAAGGATATTGTATTGATTTAATGGAAGAGTTGGCCAAAAGATTGAATTTTACTTATGATTTGGAACAAGTAAAAGATGGACAATACGGCTCATATGAATTCATTAATGGAGACAAGTCTTGGACAGGACTCGTAGGTATGATATAACAAATTAATATTATCTTTATTATACCATTATTTTAATAGCAAATATTTAATTCTATTTATAAATAAAGGAGAATTAGTATATAAAAGAGCAGATATGGTGGCCGCACCTCTCACTGCTAATCCTGAAAGGTATAGAAATTTTTATATATTTATATACCGGTATAGTATATAATAATAATTAATAAGAATATTAAAAAGTATTTTTAATTATCAATTTTAGAGGACAAGTCATCGATTTTTCCAAACCATTTAAATACGAAGGCATAACAATATTACAGAAAAGACAGCCACGAAAGGCAGCGTTGGCTTCATTTTTACAACCATTTGAAAACACGTTATGGTTATTAGGTATGTACGGTATATATACGGTATATATACGGTATATATACGGTATATATACGGTATATATACGGTATATATACGGTATATATACGGTATATATACGGTATATATATACGGTAGATATATTGTATGTACGCTATAAATATTTAATAATTAAAATAATAATTAAATTTAAAATAAATAAATATTGTATTTATAGTGTTAGTATCAGTACATGTGGTGGCACTGGCACTCTATCTACTCGATAGGTTCAGTCCTTTTGGTGGCTTTAAAATGTTGAATGTGGTCCCATCAGATGAAGGTGCTCTCAATCTTTCCAGTGCTATCTGGTTCTCATGGGGTGTCCTATTAAACAGTGGAATTGGAGAAAGTATTATATAAAGAAATTTAGAAATAAATTTATTTAAATAACTTTTTTCAGGAACTCCGAGAAGTTTTAGTGCTCGTGTTTTAGGTATGGTTTGGTAAGTATAGATAATTGATAGCAAATAATGCAGACTAGCATTACTTTATACTGAATTTGAAATGTAGGGCTGGGTTTGCTATGATAGTTGTCGCCTCTTATACCGCTAACTTAGCCGCATATCTTGTGCTTAATCCTCGTGACGATCACGCGGTGTCTGGTATTGAGGTGTTGTGGTATTTGATTATTCATTTATTATGTAATATATGATAAAATAATGTTTTGAAATGACGACAATTAATAGGATTCTCGACTGAGAAATCCAACTGAAAACTTCACGTTTGCAACTGTAAAGGGAAGTGCTGTCGATATGTTCTTCAGAAGTCAAGTACATCTTTTTAATGCCTACCGAACTATGGAAGAGACAAACAAAAATAGTCCCGAAGAAGCCATAGCAGCCATTAAAGACGGTTAATCCATAATTGTATATATTTTGGTATTTTAAAAATATTTATATTTAAATTGATTGAAAATATAGGATATCTCAATGCATTTATATGGGATTCGCCACGACTTGAGTACGAATCGGCACAGGATTGTGATCTCGTTATTTCTGGTGAATTGTTTGGTCGATCCGGTTATGGTATTGGTCTACAAAAGAATAGGTAATATAAACTGTTATTTAAACTAAAGACAGTTTGTATTAAATTTTAATTTATTAATAGTTTTTGGACCGAAAAAGTGACGTTAGCTTTACTACAAATGCATGAAAGCGGATCAATGGAAGCGTTGGACAATAAATGGATTCTTCAATCAGAAACAGGTACTCAACTAATTGATCATTTGTTAGTATTTTATATCTAAATATTATATTAATATAGACTGTGAGAGTAAGACAGAGCACTTCCCATATACTTTGGGCATCAAGAATATGGCCGGAGTTTTCATTTTAGTTTTCGCTGGAATTGTCGTCTCTTTTGGATTAATAGTCATTGAAATCGTTTACAAAAAAAGAAGAGCACGAAAGCTAAGACGATTGGCAATTGCTAAGAAGTTAGCCATCAAATGGCGTTTAAGGACTCAAGTATTATATCATACATTGAAATAATTTATATAAATTTAAACTAAATTCAATTAATGTATTATAATTATAGAAAAGCAAATCCTATCCATTAAACTTATATTCGGCGTTTCCGGTGCTCAACAAAGAGTTCAAAGAGTTGGCAATTAATAAAAGCTTTGAAATAGACTCGCGATCTTCGACTCCATGCGATTCACAATCATTTGTCATCCCTCCGCCTCCACCCCCACCTCAAACTTTTCAAAGAATTCCCTCAACATATACTACTTATACAACTGTTCCCAAAAGATCAGCCCAACAAAAAATATATGAATATAAACAAAGACGATCTCTTGGATATTACTAATTATTGAATTTAAAAAATAATTTAAAAATTTAATTAATGTCATTAAATTTTACTTACATTTTGCTTGAATTAATAATATTAAAAAAATAAATATGTGAAAAATTCAATTTATTTTGACATACATTAAAACATCAATTATTACACACATAAAACTATAATTGAGTAAGTTTTATATAAACAATAATTTGGTTCAATAATAATAAAAATAAATATAAGTTATATTACAGTAAAATAGGCAAAAAAAAGTGTCTTATGTTTTAAATTTTAGCTTAATTTGACAAAGTGTTATAACTAATTCAAATATGATACTTATTTTAATAAAATATAATTATAATAATGTTTATAATGAGTTATATTAAAATATTGTAATTTAATAATTAGCTATTAGTTTAAAATGTAAATTAAAGTGCATTTTCTAGACATAATATATTGTATTTGTATACTGTAGTAAATTAATATATCTGTACTGTATTACAGGTACTTAAAATCAACAGTTGATAATAAAGGCTATATCTTAAAATCAGACCCGCATCAGACTCCCGACTCATAATGTTTTGTGAATATCTATTAAACTATATTTTTAATATAAAAATGACCACAAGTGGCAAAGTTATAGATAATTTTAGACTCAATATATTTATAATTAATTATTTTTTATTTACTCTTATGATTGGACAGATAATTGCATCAGAACTCTTTTAACAGGTCTGATGCAATTATCTGTCCAATCATAAGAGTAAATAAAAAATAATTAATTATAAATATATTGAGTCTAAAATTATCTATAACTTTACCACTTGTGGTCATTTTTATATTAAAAATATAGTTTAATAGTTATTCACAAAACATTATGAGTCGGGAGTCTGATGCGGGTCTCATAGTAAGATAGAGCCGATAATAAACCATATTTTGCCTCTAAATTAACTGAATGTAAATTTGATAACAAAATAAAAACTCTTTATTTGTTAGAATTAATATTTTATGTTTACTTTTGCTTAATTTTAAAATACCGGTTATTGACTAAAAAATAATTTAAAACATTTAATATAATAATTATATTAAATGTTTTAAAATATTTGTAAAGTTATAACTCATTAATTATTATAAATATAAATTATTTTAGATTACGGTAAAATAAATCACATTTATTAAGATTCATCAAAATTAATCTAAAAATGCAAAACTTAAGACACATGTTTTGAAAAATCATTTAAATTGTGAAAATAATTAATTAAATTTATTTTGTGTCATATTTATGTAATATCACTTCATTTAAATCACATATTTTTATTTTACTGTATATAAATATTTAAATAGTTTGCAAATATTTCCAATTATTTATAATTATATAATAATTGAAATAAAATATGGTTTAAGGAATGTATTGACAAAATATAGCATAAGTTACAATGTATTTGATTATTGGCAACTATTTTGTAAGCATTTATCATTGCAAAGCACATATAAGTTTATAATATCTCACATAAATATATACAATGATAAGTGTATATTGTATTATTAATAGTATGATAGCAATTCACTATTATTGCAATTGATATCTTTTAAAAATTTTGTAAAAATTAATGTTTTGTTATTTACTTCATCATATAAACTCAAATACTAAAAATAATGATTGCAAAAAAACAAGTATACAATATATAAATTATAAAAATTATAACAAAATTAATAATAATTAGATAATATATTTAAAAAAATACAAACAAAATAAACTAAAAAGTAAATGCATAGATCATTAACGAATGACTCGTGTGTTAAATATATATAAACAACTAAATTAGTATAAATTTTTATAAAATTAAAATAAAACAATTCATGACTATTACAATAAACTTAAAACCCGTCATTATATTTTTTAAAATAAATTCTGCAAATATTGTATAATATTCATATAATTTATACAGTGATAGCATTTTATAATTACCGGTAATTGATAACATCTGATTCAACAATTATTATTTAAATAATAATTAATAATATGACCAATAATTGGCAATTATTTTCTCGTTTGTGCTTTAAGTTTCTAATTGATGTTTAAATAAAAATCAATTAGATGTATAAGGTTTATATATATAACATAACAACTGATAAGTAATCTATTATTAAATTAACAAATGTCATGAACTATTTGACTCAATCTTTATCAGTTTTGCATCAGTTAACCAAATGAGTATTTATACAACTTTTCAAATAATGTAATTTAATAGTTAATGATAAATGATATTTATATCATAATAACAATATCTAATCTGAAGTGTTAACAGTCCTAATAGGACTAACCGTTGTATCACTTTCTAAGTCATTTAATTTAGAGTAGAGATCGCTTTGAGTATTTGACGGATCAGTATTGTGTGCATCACTTGTTTGATCTAAAGAAGTGGCAGAACTACCCATCGCTAACTTCCGCATCTGTCGTATAACAGCAGTCGCATTGTATGCTTGCTATCGATCGCAATACAAGCCATTATATCATCAAATTAAACTTAATTTTAATTAATAACTTACTCTCCATTTAGTTTTAGCAAAATTTTTCTTAAGTTGTTCACTGACTGATCCGTGTATATTCATATCTTTTGCTGTATTTCCTGATATCCTATTATATAAAATTATTATATATTACATAATTTATAAACATATTTAAATAAATTAGTGAATACCATGGATGTGCTACTGCAAGTTTACATGTAAATCGTTTGCTAACATCAACTATTTAATTAATTAGTTAATTAAAAAATTGTTTAAATAATATTAGTAAAAACTAACCGCAAATTAAATGTCTAATGAAATCTTTAGCTGAATCTGAAATATCGTCCCAATACGGACTGTCAAATTCAAACTCTCCTTTTAATATCTGAGCAAAAAGATTGGCATCATTTTCGTCATAAAATGGGGGGTAACCACATAATAATATATAGGCTATCACTCCTATACTCCATACGTCCACTGACTTGCCATATGGTCTCTGTGCTAATACCTATTTGGTATATAAAACACATTATTTTATTAATATTATTTCTATTAAATTTTAGTCATAATATTGTATTTATCATAAAAATTAAAATATTATACTATATTTCATATTGAATAAAAAATATTGTCATACAAATATATTTTTTCAATCAATGTTTTATCAAATATTAAATATAAAACAAACAATAGTATGATATAGTTTAATATTCAACTTATGTATATTATATTAGAGATTAAAAATTGCTGGTAATAATTATAAATATACAAATAGCTTATTTTACATTATTATAAAGCTAATAGTGCTTAAGTTAATTACATATCACTAAAAATATATTATACTAACATATAATGTTTTGCTAGTGAGTTATATTTCATTTAAAACTATGATAAGAATATGAATTTGTTTATATAAATTTTATCAATAAATATAATGTAAATATAATATTTCACAATTTTTTTAATTAACATTTGTTATTAATGTATAAAATAATTAGATAGTTGCCAAAAATATTTTAAAACAAAATTTAAATAATTTTTATAACAACTGATAACATTACAAACTATTAAAATATAATTATATAAAAGTTTAAAATTTAAAATAATGATTTAGATTTTGATTTTTTACAATAATTCATACAATGAATAATAACGCCCCGTAACGACACTTCATATCAATACAAATAAAAGTAATACATAGATATATACCGTATGTATATATATCTCTAATGCTCTCAAAGGTTTATTATTAATTGGTCCCTGCAACGTTAATTATACAAAAAATATTAAAAATAAATAAATAAAACAAATATAACATAACAAAATTTATTAGGGTAGAAAATTTTTAATTAATAAAAAAATGTCTCAGTACAAATAAAACCAAAACAATAGCAGACGCACCACAAATATATCACATAGATTACACTTAATATATACATACAAAAATACATAATGTTTTAATATATACATACAAAAATACATAATGTTTTGTATAAACTCCGCCCCTAAGCATTATACCTAATAATATTGCGCGAATATACATAAACTACTGTGTTATAGGGTATCATTGTGTGACGGCAATTATTGTTTTGGTTTTGCTTATATTGAGATAGTTTTAAATATAATTTGACAAAAAATAATTTTGATATTACTGTAATAGTTTATTTGTAAATGAGTATGATATATTATTAACATTAGTATAAAATACGTAATAAAGTTTAATTCAAAAATCTATCATGATAGCAAAATTGATCATCACAGATATATATATATATATATCATTATACTGCATATATTTAAAAAGCAAACAAAAATTTGAAATTTACTATTAAAATTAAAAATTAATTTAACGAGATTTTATATAATTTATATTGTATACTATAACAAATTTATAATATGGTAAAGTTAAATTTTCTATGAAATATATGATGCTATTTTGAAAATTACTAAATTAACTTTTATAAATATATAGTTTTAAAAATTATGTACAGTATGTATGCATTTAGGGAAAGAGTGTCAAACTAGAAATAATGTAAACTTCATTCACATAACACAGTAAGTCATTGTTTATTGAGTTATCTAATAATGACTACTAATCAAGCTTTTAGGTCACTAATCATTCTTACCCTTAAAATAAGTCATCTATTGAGATGTCTATACAATGCCTAATAATAACCTATAAATTTCGGGTAACTTTAAATTTAAAGATTGGTAGGAAATTAATTATAATATTAATAATTAATATTATTACCGTATTATCATTTAATTAATTCATAGCTATTTAGCGCTCTTTACATTACAATAGACCGGGCTCCAATTTCCAATTGTTTCATAACCCCACGACCTCACATTTTTTAGTTGGCAAATAAATGTGATATTTGTTGCCGAAATGTGATAATTTTTTAAAAATTATTCGGTAGGAAAATAAGTGGTACATACGGTATAATGTTTCAACTTTTAAATATTTAATAAAATATATTATACCATACTAAACTATACTAAAACATTGACGAAAACAATATTATGTTTGATATTATATTTATACTGCATAATAGTGAATAATTATCACAAACAAAAATTATAAAAAGTAAATTGAAACAAAAAATGAGACTCACCTCTGGTGCTACATATCCTAATAGTCGTGAGAGGAATAATAATTTTATTACAACAATAATAATATTAGTTATTACCATAAATATAATCAAATAGTAAGCACATACCAGGTGTTCCTATAATTAAAACATATGATAATTAATATTTAATAAATACCGTATATATAACCTTATATATACTGTATATATATAATAAAAGGCAAAAATACCGCAAGCAGTGGCCATCACTCCTGATTCTTCCATTTTAGACAAACCAAAGTCACTGATCATAATTTTTGAGTCTTCATCTGTACTGTAATACAAGAGATTCTCTGGCTGTTTGTCCAAACAAATCAATAAAAATTAGTGTAATTGTTATAATAAGAGTAATATTAGTAAATAATTAATACTTTAAGATCTCTGTGGACGACACCACAAGAATGCATATAATCGACGGCCTCTAAGATCTGTTTGATTAGATGTGAGGCGTCTTTCTCAGTATAGCTTCCCTTCTCAACAATTCTGTCGAAGAGTTCGCCACCCATTACTCTATTGGTGATAATCATGTCATCAATGATACCAATTTAGTTACCATTAAAACTAATTATAACTATACATACAATTCCATCGCCAAATAAACCTTATTTTTATCTTCAAATGTCTCAATTAGTTGAACTATATTTGTGTGCTTAAGTCTGTTATAATATATAATCAAATATGAAAATTATTAATACTTTAATTAAATATCATTTGTCAACAATCAGTTGATACACACTTTCTAAGAACTTTAATCTCATTTTCCAATGAATCCTCTTTACCCTTAAGAGCTCTTTTGTCGATGCATTTGATGGCAACTAATTTATTGTTGACTTTATGTTCAGCGAGATATACTTGAGAGAAGGCACCACTAGTCACACAAATGACAATTAATGAGTGGATCAGATTAACAATTAAGTCATCAATGACTACATACGTGCCCAATAAGTCCTTAAATGTATAGACATCTTCAATATTACATGTATTGATGATATCATTGCTTAGTTCACGACTTTGTCGACGATTGACATCTTTTTTACCAAACAGAGGCATCTCTTCAACACATTAGACAATATATGGTATGACTGTTATGACCAAAACGTGTCCAACCAATTGATACAATATGTATATATCATATATCATATAAATATTATACTATTATTGCTATATATTTGATTTGTTTGGCAATTGTAATCATAATTATAATTAAAATATATTAAACTATACTATAATAGTAATTAAGACATATTTATAATGAAAATCATATTAAATCATATGATATGAATGACATACCAATAAACATAACATTAATATTATATTAATGTAAACTCAATAGCATTGACAACAACATCACTGAACCACTGCTAACATAGATCTTCAATAACATACAGTTATGTACAGTACTTGTAATACATTTCAGTATTGATGTAACACTATATTCAATATAAACTACTCTACAGTACTGTATAAATGTACAGTATTTGCAAACATTACACAACTATACCTTATATAATATACTTTAAGTTATATAGTATTACATGTTTTACTCAATATTATGTGCCATCTCTATACAGTATATCATATTATGTCATATTATATTAATAGTATATTTTCTAAACGCAATTCAATTTATAGTATAATAATTATTTGGGAAGGAATTTCCAATTATTGTCAACTAATTCCCCAACAAATAGGTTAAATAGTGTATAATATATCTGTATAATATTTGTATGAATTAAAGTTATCATGATGACTTTTTATACTAAAATATACCATCATTTAATTTAACATATATTTACTGAAAAATTGATGATATAATTTATATAATAACGATTTTGATTGAAGATTAAAATATCGACTATTAGTAAAATAATAATAAACTTTTATATGATAATATATGTATCACAATATTTGAAAAAAATATTGTAATAATTAAAATAAAGAATTTTTAAAAAGATTGTATCAATTTGAGACAATTTCTAAACTAACTAAAATAATAAATATATACATTCTATGGCATCTAAATTATATTTATAAATATATATATAAATTTATTATTGTGCAGTTGTTTTCACAAATTTAAACAATTGATATACTGTATGTAATATATACTATTGAATATATTTTTTTTTTGAAACATTAGAAAATTAAACAATTTATAGCACTTTAAAAAAATTACATCCATTTGTTAATGAAGTACTAAAAACTTGACACTACAACACATGTCCACTCAACCCCTGCCGACATCCCGTATTGTTTACAGCACTGTTATCTAAAAACCAGTGCATATGTGGTGACCAACACTGATCAGTAGTATTAGCGGTCTATAAGTATCAGTGAAACGATAGCCTAATCGACACATTTTTAGTGATTTAAAAGTATTTTCGACAAAAAAGTAGGAAAAAATAATTTTTATGGCACAAAACAGGGTATCAATTATTCAATTTTTGGCCACTTTCTCAGATTATAAGTATTTTATAAATATTTGCTTAAAAATGTATCATTAATTTATACGTAATATAATTTAAAGACTTGAGTTTTGGTATTATTTATTATAAAAATATAAAATATATTTTCCATTCTAAGAGTTAGGGAGAGGAATAAAATATTTTCCCTATTTTCCGGGAAAATTGGAGGGATTTTATTAGAGAACTTCCCTTTCTTGGAAAGTTGTCTGAACTCTAGTAATAATACAATTGATTTAAAGACAATTTTTGTTTAAATTATCAATTAAAATAAAATCTCAAATTAAACATAAAATTGTTTATATGTTTTGTCATTAAATAATTCATATATATTTTTGAAACCATATCTGTTTAAACATTTAATTAATTACTAATTCAATGACATATTGTTTGTGTTTAATATCAAATCAAGTCGTCGTCTTTTGTTTTTACAAAATCTGTCAAATTATTGCATATATTTTACTATTTAATAACTTTATACACTTTTGTTCAGTTTTTACAACTATTTATATTATTTATTTGTACATAAAAGTTGTTTTATTTAAAAAATGTGATTTTATGTGGAAATGTGTTTATTTTTAAATTATGTATTTATATGTGAAATAATACCTGAATTAATCAAAAGTATTCCCTATTTTATGCTTCGGAAAGTTATCTATTAATTCTGAAACACATATTTTAAGGATCTATAGTATAGTTAGAGTTCGATCAACATTCATAGGGAGGGAAGTTCCCTAAAAAATCCCTCCAATTTTTCCGGAAAAATACTCATCAAGTGGTAAAATTTTAATTATTTTTGTAAATTTCTTATTACAAAGTTTTTCATACAAACCAGCAATTAGTTGTCAATTCCATGAAATAATGTTAATTTAAAATAAATTAAGACATGAAATAAATTGCGGGCACTTTAATTTAAATAAAAATTACAATAATTAATGTTTTGTTTGTTAAACAATTATTTGTTGTGACATTAAATTTTGTTTCATTTAATTTAAAGGAAGTTTGATATTAAGTTAAATAATTTAATTGCAAACATAATTCAATACAAAGAAAAATATAGCACCAAATGTGCGAAATGTGTTTTATTAATAATTATAAATCTTCTGAATATTTAAATAAAGATCTTTAAATCAAATTTAATTGTAAGAAATTTAAATGTTTAGGTCAACAATAAAGTCATTTAACACTAAATCAACAAATTATTTAATATCTATAAAATAATTGGCAAACTTATAAAACAAACATTTTGTTTTATAGACTTATTAAACAATTTCAATTCAATTAATTTATTTAAAACATATTTTGTGCACTTTTTCCCACTCTTTCTTGAAATTACATAAATATAACACTTTTGGGATATTCAATGTAAAAATTATAAACTTATAAATATAAATAAAATCATAGTTTAAAAGTAAATAAAATGAATCAATTAAACTTTGAGCAAAAACCTAATTACAAAAAAATAAAAGTTTCAAATCATTACATATGACTTAGAAATTGAAAACCTTTTGATAAACTCATACATTGTTTGGATATTTTGTTTTTGTTGTTTAGAAAATAAAAATATGTGCCATTTGTGTCACTTATTTATAAGTCTCTAAAATGATTGAATGAAAAGTATATATAAATTATTATATACTGTATATATATATATATATATATAACTAGTGATAAAAGATATAAATTGTAATAAAATGAGTTCATTTATATGAAGTTTTTAAATATACTGTATATGTTGTAGAATAGTATAGAATTAATTTACATCTTAGTATTGGCTCAAAAGGGAAATGTCTTAACAGGCAATTAATTGCTTTAAACTTTCATTAAAATCAATTATTCACTCAAATTGGAGTCTTTGTAAGTCTAAAAGCTTTAAATATATTTATCAATAATTGTCTCTATGTTTACATTACAACACAACACATCTTGGCTTTCGTGGCGGTCGTTGTTTTTTCTCCGGATTCTTTCTATTGATTTGTCGGACCAAATCGTAAAAGATCTTTCAAATAAATTAATTATATTAATAAATTCATCAAATATGAGATCACCTGACATGACATACCTCATTGACATTGATCTTAGCTTTGGCAGAGGACTCGAGAAAAGCACAGTTATTGAAACTTCGGGCCAGATTTGCGCCCTGATCTTTGCCGACCACTCTTTCATCGTCGAGATCACACTTATTGCCGACCAAAATCATAGGCACATCGTCGGTGTCTTTTACTCGCAATATCTGTTCCCTTAGATCCTGTAAGTCATTAAAAGTGGACTGAGCTGTGATCGAGTAAACCAATACAAATCCCTGTCCATTCTTCATATAGAGATCACGCATTGCTGTGAATTGTTCCTACCGTACAAACAATACATTTAATATCACATTCAATATACACTAATAAGTCAACACAACTAACAGTGCCCGCTGTGTCCAATATCTCGAGCATACATTGCTGTCCATCCACTTCCACTTGTTTGCGATAACTGTCTTCAATAGTCGGATCATATTTCTCAACAAATATACCTAAATATATGATGATGGTCAATTAATAAACATATACAATGTTATCATGGTTATTATCATTAACTAACCTTGTACAAATTGCACCGTCTATAACAACAAACCAACAAACATAACATAACATTAGTAACAATATATTTCAAATATATCACATACCAGTGCACTCTTGCCCACACCTCCTGATCCCAACACAACTATCTTGTATTCACGCATTTCTTGATATTAGCCCTGAAATGACACAATCAATGTATACATTATTAGATGAAAATATCTTTAAATGAGTTTATGTTGTGTTTGTGGACATACCTGTTGTGCTCGCAATCGATGTGATTGATGTCGTCAAGTGATCACTTGAGCCGACAATCGGTGTCGATATTATCTGAAGACAAATTGATAGCAAAGTATTGTTGGCACTAATCAAGGCTTTAATTAATAGTCAATTAAATATCAATTAAATCAATAATTAGAGTAATTATAGCATTGATGGCAATGACGGTAGTGTTGGTTGTGTTGTGTGAAAGTGTGTTGTATTGTATGTATCATAGAGTGTGTCAATTGAGTGCAACATTAATAACTAGACATAAATATCAAATATATACATATTTCTATCAAAATTTACTTTTTTTTATATTTTAATTATCAATCACTATATAATTTATTCACCTTGTATTAACCTGGGTATTATAATTGTGTTGTACAATCTATTACTTGCTATTTGAAATTTTAATTATGATTAAATAGCTTAAAGTTATTTATATAGCATGTTATGCTAACTAATTAACATATTAATTTTTTTAAAAAATATTTTATATTAAATTATATTATTTAAATCTATATTAATTAAACCATATTCAATGGCCACTTAATATTTGATGTCTTAATAATATTTGAAATTTCAAATTCATGTTATTTTTGCAAATGTGTAATTCATATATAAAAGAAACAAAGAATGTGTAATTAAGTTTATTCAACAACAAAAATAATTATAAGTGTATTTATAATTTATTGGTATCATTTTGACATTTTTTTTAATTAAACTACATATTTAGACATAAGTTCAAAATTTTGAACTATAATTTCATTGTCTAATTATAACTGTGAAGTGCAGTCAAAGTGTTGAAATCGTTGAACGCATCGCTCGCTTACAGACTGTGTTATAGCGACTAATAATTCAAAGTCTGTCATAAACTGAGCTCTTATTCATCATATTTTTTCATATATTATTTGATTAACTTTTTTAAATAAATATTTTAATTTATTTAATATCAATCGTTAAATCAATGCATTAAATCCAATCAAAATTAACTTTTTTCAATATTTCTAAATTTAAATATCCTGTATATAAAATTTGATGTATTATTATATACCTATAGATTGTACTGTATATTAATAAAAATTTTGATTATTTCCTATATTTCTAACTTATTTCAAGTAATTGCTTATAAATTAAATTAAAGATCAAGTAATTTATTAATTGTTTAAATTTAATTATTTATAAAATGTTAATTTTTATCAAATGGATGTACAGTAGAGTACATTGTGCTGTACTGTAGATCTGAATTCAAATATCGTTGTAAATGTTAGGGCTGTGGCACTGTTGGCACAGTTAGTACTGTATATACTGTTAGATACAGTAAATGTTAGACATAGGAGACATAAATTTTTAGGATGTATTAAATTTATAATATAATTGTCAATAACTGCTTATTTATAACTGTTTTTAGAACTATAGCTTTGTTTAAAAATTTTTATTAATCAAATCAATTTGTGAGAGATTATATAAAAATAACTAAAAAATATTTAAATTATACGTTAATATTTAAAAAAATATTATTTTAGTGTATTTTATGATAGCATTGATTATTAACTTAATTATTCTAAATTGTTGTTAGGTTTCCATTGATTCCATATTTAATATTCAAAAAAAGTTATCACATATTTATTTTGATTTTATTTCTAATACAGTATTAATAATATTATTTTATTTATTAATAGAACATTTAATATTATTTATAAAACAAAAATGATCAAGTTCTAATATCAAATAACAATAAATGATTAAAAATTATATTATATTAATGATTGATATTAATGATAATGAAATTAAATTGTTGTTAAATTTATTAAATTAAACTTTGATTTAAATTTATTAATAAAATTAATAATAATTTTCTATATTTTTCTGTATAGAGATCACCAAAAAAGTCAAATACTTTATAAAGTATTAATACATGTAGTGTTAGAGTGTAATCAAACATAAATATCGTCACTAAATTCAAAGCATAACTTAAATATTAATATTAATATTAATACTATTAATAATAAAGTTTTAAACAAATATTTAATATATTAATAGTTTTTACTAAATATAATGATTGTTACAAAATTGATGTTTGGTTTACTTGACATTTACTTACATTAAACGATTAGATGTAATGATTTATATTTGTTTAAATTGTAGACAATGTATAACCAGATCTTTTTGCTATAAATGTTATCTAAATCTAAATATTGATTATATTTGACTTAATTTTATATTAAATTAGAATTGTGTTTATGGTTTGGTTATTATATGTTTAATGACAAGTACTGTAAATTTACAAACAAATAAAACCGAAAGTTAAACCGTTTTGGGCTCTAATGTACTGTAGAGTAGAGTTTCAATACAATGGTTACAACAGTGCAGTAGTGGAGCCACTGTTGAGTACTATATATTGAGTTCTATTATATTGAATATTAATACATATATTACTGTATTATACATGTATTGAGTGAGTGTTGTATTACCGTAATGTATGACTGATTCAGTGTAGAGCCGGTCGTCAATCAATTGAATTGTTTTTCTAATTATCACTGATTTGTTGACATATTTATCATATTATTGTTATTTGATTTGAATTTAATTTAATTGTATAAACAATGGATGAAGAGTACGATGCGATTGTATTGGGAACCGGTCTGAAGGTAAGTGACAGTTGACACCCATTGACTGACTGACTGACTGACACATCGACAATGTCTTAATTTGTTAATTGTGGACAATAGGAGTGCATCTTAAGTGGTATGCTATCAGTGAGTGGTAAGAAAGTATTGCACATCGACCGCAACAAGTATTACGGAGCAGACAGTGCATCGATTACACCACTTGAAGACCTGTTCACTAAATTTGGTTTCGACCCGTCGAGCACTTCCATTGAAGAGTACGGCCGTTCCCGTGACTGGAATGTTGATCTCATTCCTAAGTTTCTTATGGCTAATGGTTTGTTGTCATCAGACATTTGTATCAATGGTTTAATTAAATAATTATCTTATTATAGGCTCATTGGTTAAGCTGTTGATTCATACGGGAGTCACTCGTTATCTTGAGTTTAAGTCTTGTGAGGGAAGTTATGTCTATAAGGGCGGCAAGATTTTCAAAGTACCTGCAGATGAAAAAGAAGCACTCGCTTCCAGTAATTAATAATGTGATCCATTTTACCATTTGTACCAATTTATTGACAATTTTCTTTGATATTGTTTTATTAGGTTTGATGGGAATGTTTGAAAAGAGACGTTTTCGAAGTTTTCTGTTGTTTGTTCAAGATTTCAATAAAGACGATCCAAAGACATGGAAAGATATGGACCCGAAAACAACAAATGGTCAGCAATTATACGAAAAGTTTGGTCTCGACAGAGACACCGCTGACTTTACTGGTCACGCACTGGCGCTCTATCGTAACGATGAGTAAGTTTGTAATGAAGACATGTCATTGACCTAAACATACTAATGGTGTACTTAATTATATTATAAGTTATTTACACGAGTCGTGTTTAGATTTGATAAATCGTGTTAAGTTGTATAGCGAATCATTGGCTCGTTATGGAAAAAGTCCTTATTTGTACCCATTGTATGGATTGGGAGAACTTCCTCAAGGATTTGCACGTCTTAGTGCTATATATGGTGGCACTTATATGTTGGACAAACCCGTTGATGAAATAATAATGGAAAATGGAAGGGCAGTCGGTGTACGCTCTGGTAATGAAACGGCTAAATGTAAACAAGTGTATTGTGATCCGTCATATGTTTCCGATCGCATCAGAAAAGTTGGACAAGTGATTCGCTGTATATGTCTACTCAATCATCCGATTCCCAATACCAAAGATTCCTTGTCGTGTCAGATAATTATCCCCCAAAAACAAGTGGGACGTAAATTTGGTATAAAACAAATTAAAAATATATTATACTTTACCGTAATATACAATAATAAAAATAATAATATTTTGACTTAAAACAGATATTTATGTATCACTCGTGTCATTCACCCATCAAGTGGCATCCAAAGGTTGGTTTGTCGCAATGGTCAGCACTACTGTTGAGACTAATAATCCTGAAGCAGAAATAAAGCCGGGACTAGATTTGTTGGGACCAATTAAGCAAAAGTATGATTACCTTATGTTCAATGATTTTTTTGATTTGTTATTATTAACATATATTTATTTCAGGTTTGTATCGGTTAGCGATCTCTATAAACCTATAGAAGATGGCAAAGAAAGTCAGATCTTTATTAGTGAATCATTTGACTCAACCTCTCATTTTGAGACTACTTGTACTGATGTACTCGATATCTTCAGACGTGGCACTGGAGAAGACTTTGATTTTTCAAAGGTTAAACTGGATTTAAATGATGATCAATGAATAGGGAGTCACCTAATGGCCAATCTTTTGCTTATTTGCAAGTTTTGTTCATTTGATTTAATTTTTAATCAACAATTGTTTTACATTTATATTATCAAATTATTTACTATTGATATACTGTTTAGCGATAAATTTATTCCAATTTATTTTGTATTACCAATAAGTTCAAATAAGCAATTTTTGTTTATTTTAAATATAAAATTATCAATTTAATAATTATATTAAAATTGGATTTATTGAACAATTGAAATATAAGTCAGTTATACTCTATTTTTCTAACAAAAATAATTTGTCATTTAAACTATTCTATAGGGCTTTTAATTTGTTAAATTTACTGAATTATATCAACATTTTATTATAAATTAATTTTCAAAATATCTTGAATAATGTATCCGTGAATTATAGTTAAATATACAGAATTTCAATATACTGTTGATATTACCGTAATATAAGAAACACTAAATAGTAGATTGTTATGTACTGTAGTGTACTTTCAAATGATTACATATAATATAATAAAATTATCTCAATCTTTGTAAAGAATATTCATTGAGTGTCGAATTAATAGGATTATCACATTTTTGTACTCTTAAGACACACGAGTGATACTCTTCAAGACTAGTTCTGTGGCCACAACTAATGATAGCAATGTTAAGTCGATTGCACTCTTCATAAATTTTGCGCTCCATTTGCACTGAAATGGCAGAAGTGGACTCATCTAACACTGCCATCAGTGGTCTATGAAGAAAAAGACGAACAAAACTGATTCTCTGTTGTTCTCCGGGAGACAAACAGTCGATCCAATTCCAGTCCATTTGCTTCTCAAAGTGATCACCAATTCTTTGCAATAACTGATGCAAATCTAAAAATGTCATCAAATGTATGATTTGATCCCTAAAGTATTTGTTTGTCATATATTTATCTGTATCTGGTTTTAATGGATATGACAATTGCTATAAAAATGCAAACAATATTACCGATAATGTAATGTATTATTATTATTAAATACTCTCACAAACCTCTAATAGAGAAGTTATAGGCATAAGAATTGGCTTTTGTGGCAAAAATAATACCATTTTTGGATCATCGAAATCAATGTGTCTCTCAATGGAACCGTTAGTCTCTTTCCAAATACCCTTTAATACTCTAAGAATAGATGTCTTTGCAGTACCACTCGGACCAGATATTAATAGTTTTGTCTCATTATTGATACTAATATTTAATTTATTGATAAGCGTTTCATCACTTTTAGGCACTTTGATGGACACATTGACAACATTACAATAATTATTAGATTCACACAATCCTAACAAATTAATACATGTATTTAAATCACTGGATGATTGTCTGTTATCTTCATTTGAATTCAATATTTCAAGAACTTCTCCAATTCTATGAGCAGTTCCACCGATTGTTGTCAACTGAGTTGCTGTATCTATAAGTCTTGAATAACAATTAATCAAATAAATAGTGACGAAAGCGTTTTGACTAATTAGTTGACTTAAGTCTGCGGCCAAATAATTATCATATTTACCCGAAAATAAGGGAAACGACAATATTATAAATGATATAATGCTTCCCAAATAATCTGATAAATAAACCCAACTCTTGAGGAATAATTCTCTTACAATAAGACTTTCTTGAACTGAAACCAATTGATTAAAGAGTTGTTGAGTTTTAAAGTTTTCAAATGTATGTCCACTTTGAAGTGCAATACTCTCACAATTGTTTCTGACGTGAATGTGTTGGAACCGATAGTTTCCTTCTGATTGTTGCTGTAAATAAACTTTGTTTGAAACCATTGATATCAATGACTTGTTTAATACTGTGGTGACAATGAAGAATATGAAACAACCGAGAGGTCCGATGTATCCAATTATTACATATGAATGGTAAGTATAAAAAGGAATAATGAATGGCCAGACCAGTAGATCCGATATAATTGAAGACAGAGATCGACAAAATGCATCGACATCTTGAGTGATCCTTTGATCTAAATTGTCTTTATATCTATCGATGACATTCAATCTATAATAAGATAAGTCTTTAAAATACAAGACATTTAATTTTGTGGTTAAACTCTTTCGCCATTCAATATAAACAGTCGACACTATATAGTCTTTACAACTCTTAACCAAAGCTATTGATATAATTAATACCAAAGCTTTAAGAGTTTGTGACCAGAATTGGTTCCAATCTTTATCTGCCAGTGCTTTATAATAAGCGCCGGTAATCATACCGACGTTATATGAGATCGTCTCATATATCATACATATCACCAACAAATAGGTCATCACTACAACTGTCGTCTCATTGATCATCACTTTACTGATCACTACAAGACGTTTCACAAAAGTTATATCAAAACTATATGTTGAAGACATTTCACATCACTATCAATGACCACAAATTGTTTTCAAATACTATTTATTAAAGAGAAACTACAGTACAATACAAACTATTAATACAATTTCCAACATATAATACATATATTATGTTTAACATATAACTAGTGATAAAAATTTACTCAATTTTCATATAACAATATTTTTACAAATTATTTCAATTAAATAACTCAATTTCGATAATTATTTTTTCTATTATTTAATAACAGATTTTTAAAATTTAATAACAAATCAAATTTGAAAAATATTTATATTGAATCTAAATATAATAAAATTTAAGTAGTTTTTAGTATTATAATGATTAAGTTTTAATGATTACTATATATAGTATACTACAGACTGTAGTCTACAGTATATAAAGTATTTAGAGTTTGAGAAACAATCACAGGGAGGGAAGTTCCCTAATAAAATACTTCCTATTTTTTGCTGAAAATATTTTATTTTCCCTCCCTACATCGTTAGAAAGGGAAAATATATTTTATTCTTTTACAATAAATAGTTTAAAACTTAAATGTTTTGCAAAAAAAAATATTGAAATATTTATCAATACCGGTCGGCACTGCCTTAACTGCGGTGAGATATGAGAAGCTTGTGGTCAAAGATTATCTGGAGAACCACTGGTCAGATCTTGCGGTCAAACATATAAAAGTTGTAGAAATTTAAAAGAGGAACAATAGTTCTCTTGAAAATATTTTCAAGCAGTAGTTTCTAATCACTGACCGCCAGTTTTTTTTTAAATTAAAAATGGTTTTAATTTTTTTGTGGGTCCACTGGTGGACCTATTATTTTCAAGTGAACCATTGTTCCTAACTTTTATATGTTTGACCGCAAGATCTGACCAGTGGTTCTCAAGATAATATCTGACCGCAAGCTTCCCATATGTCTCCGCAGTTAAGGCAATGCCATACCTCTCGAAATACATTTTATTATATTTTTTTCAAACATCAATAAAATTTGTTGTTAAGAGTTCAATATGTGGTAGCACTAGGAAATAAATTCCCCAGTAATTCCCGGGGAGCAGGGAATATAAGGAACTTTTGGGAAATAAAACGAGGAGGGAATTTGATCGAACCCGAAACGTATATACTTTTATTAATTAAACTATTTCATATTTATTTAAATTTTGTTAAAATATAGCTTCAACATCACTAATACATAATTATTACAAAAGAGTTATTATTAATAGTAATAAGTAACTATTAAGCCCACCCCAGCCCACCCCAGCCCACCCCATACCCCAGCCTACCCCAGCCTACCCCAGCCTACCCCAGCCTACCCCAGCCCACCCCAGCCTACCCCAGCCTACCCCAGCCTACCCCAGCCTACCCCAGCCTACCCCAGCCTACCCCAGCCTACCCCAGCCTACCCCAGCTACCCCAGCATTAAATGCTTCAATACATAGAATTCATATAAAGTGATAAAACATAAATTTATTCATTTGAATCATTTATAAGAAGAGTAGTTAATTAGTTATAAATTATAAAAAGACAAATACAATATTAATTTCAATAATAAATAGGGTTTTAATTTAAATTTTTTAAAAATTTAATCTAATTTATTAACACTAATTAATCAATTGTAATAAAATTGATTGACATTTAAGTATAAATTACTTTAGACAACACTTATGACAGTAATATCTATTGACTTAATGAACACAAGTGTTTCACTGAATATCATTGAACACACAATCCAATTGATAAGACAATTATAAATTAAATTAATAAATAATACGAATATTTAGATAAAAATAAAAAATTTTGAAAAATTAGCAAAAATCTGAACATAAAATTAATTTATTAAATGTCAACAAAATATATAAAAATATTTGATTATTAGAAAAAAGTTATCATCGATTTTGGTACAAAATTATATATTGTATTATTTTAAATATTATTAGATATCAATTTTAATATAAAAATTTTGTTAATATTTTAACGTGAAATGCTATTGACATAAAATGTAAATATTTTCTAAATTGATATATTTTTTGATTAATTACGAGTCTGTTTTAAATCTGTATAATTAAAACAACATTTTTAATATACTGTATCCTGGCCTCCTGTTTCGGCCGAAAGACGGTTCCGCCCCCTTCCGACTCCATCTACACGATTGTCATTCATTTGGACGCCGCGTCTGATGGAAACGCGACGGTAACCATGTTGGGATCGGATGACGAAGAGCGGCCTCAGAGCTGTTCGCGTTTGCCTGCTTTGCAGCCGAAGAGCGAGCGAAAGGCGGCCAAAACGTTGTCAGCGATTTTGGCGGCTTTTGTGGTGACGTGGACGCCGTACAACGTGTTGGTGTTGATAAACACGTTTTCGCCGTCTTCGGTGGATTCTTGATTTTTTAAATAAAATCATTTAGCAATTAAAAATTAAAAAAGAGTTAAAGTGTTAATTTTCAATCTAATATCATTTATTATTAAATAATCTAAAATTATGAATTTAAATCAATAAAAATGATTACAGTTTTAATGGCAAGAGATGGGAACCGGGATTACTAGAAACCGGGATTACTAGAAACCGGGATCTCAGAAAATATAAAACATATTTAATTTGTGACAAGGACAATTTTAATATTTATAATATTAATAGTTTATAATATTTAAAAAATAATTTTATCTTTGATACATTTTCAACATTTCTTAATTTTTTAAAATTTTACTCATAAATTAGTTAAATGTTAACTATTATTATTTTTTATTTACTTAAAAAATTGTATATATTTTTACACAATTAATTTATCAAACTTGAAATAAAATTATTTTTTATTTACATCATTTAACTAGATTAATTATATTTAAAAATAATTACAATACTTAATAGAATATAAATTTTTTAGAAATATTTTTAAGTATTAATATTAGCAACTTTATTTAAGTGAATATATCAAAATAATCTATATAAAAATAAAAATATATTATAATAAAAACTAATTTTAATTACATGAAAAAATAATTTAAAATCTTTTATTTTGATATTTAAAAAATGTTTTTTTATTGGGACACTATTTTAGCATAAACTGACAATTTTGAAAAAGGCTGAAACATGTCAATTGAATTTTGATATATTATAAATTGCACACAAATTTCATATGTATTTCTATTTTAAATATATAAGTCATATATCATAACATTTCCAATTTTTACCTAACAGTGCTTTAATGAAATAATGGTCACTATTGTATATGATATCAATGGTTAATAAATAGTATGTTTATTATATTTATATTGTAATATTTAATCTTTATTATGATAATTATTTAGTAATTTTTATTATTATACGGTATATCTTTGAGTCACATATTTTTATACATTTTATTGAATTTGGTAGTAAATGAAACAAACAACTAATAAATTTAAATATTATATTTGATATTTAGTATTAAGTAATAACTAATGTTGAAAATTGATGAAAATAATGATGAAGTCTACAGTATTATTACACATATGATGTATAAATATTATATAAAATAAATGCATTAAAATTGACAAAAATCTGAACGTATTGTAAGTATGAGTTGATTGGTTGACATATCGTAACATTAGTGAAGAGCAGTCGCGAACCTATTGCTGAATATTCTTTCAAATGTTAAACGTTTAGTGTTTTGTATGATTGGATTCAGTGATGACAGACTCTATAAACCATTTGTAATACATATTCATTATATCTATATTTTTATATAATATTTAATCACAAAATACTGTATAAAACAATTCTTATCATTCAATTAAAAGTTAAGTATTTTTTTTATAAATTTGATTAATATTTATTTTTATAGATTTAATAAATATATATTCAAATTAAATAAAAGTATACATTTAATCCAATTAAATTTTTATTTAATTTTCATTTACATCATAATGTTTGGATACTTAAAAAGTAAACTTTTATTTAACTTGTTGATTGTAATAAATATTTAGTTTCAATATTTAATTTATGTTTACTTTTGTTTTATTTTTTTATATTTATTAATTTTTAATTAATTTTTTTACTGCATATATTGGTTTAATTTTATAAAGTTTTATAATCAAATAAATATAAATAAGTGTAAACATTTGTCAAACTCAAATTAAATAATGTAATTTTTTAAATATAACTAATTATATTTATAACTAACTAAATAATTAAATTGAATTTAAAATCAGAATTAATTTAATTTTTAACATTTCAAATATCTAATATTATATTAATTAGTAATTAATTTTATTTGAATTAATCTCTTAAAAATATATTTATACATTATTTTCAACATAAAATTTCGGATTTTATAATGCAATCTATTTTATAGATAAATTGAGAATTATTTAAAAGTGTATTATGTTTTGAACTATTTGTCATTTAATAAATAATATTTGATTTAATAGATTTTATTGTTATTTTTATTTACATTATTAAATACTAAAAATCGTTGTTTTTATTTTATTATTAAATAGTTAATAATTTGCTCTCAGATTATAAATTATGGTTATTTATACTTTTTTGTTAAATTAAATTAAGGTCATATGATTATGAAAATTTTACAATAATTATTGTTATATTTATGATTTTATATACAGTAATTATATTTTGTAGAAAAACATTTAATTTTAATTTATTTTTATTATATTGTTTTTAAATTTATCAATATTTTTATTTATGACTAAAGATAATAATTTAGTAGTATTTATACTTGTTATACATATTTTACTGACAACAAGTATAGTCATTGAATTCAAGTTTGTAAAAATCAACACTTTTTTTATATAACTGTATTATTTGTTCTTTAGATTAGTGTATTTGTATAGAAGTAAGTCATAACCGTTTTTATGCTTTTAAATTTTGATATATTTTTAACTATTCATATATTGTAACTTTTATTGATTTTATAAGTCGTATTAAAAATTGTGAAAATATGGCGTAAAATCAAAATAATGCACTAATTTGTAGAAAAAACAACTGTTTTCTTGTTTTATTAGAAAATAAAATTATAGAATATATTGTAATAACCGTTTAATTATAATATTTTTTATTATTATTTTAATACTAATCATAATAATATTATATAATGA